TTGCTCTAAAAATCGAATCTATTTCAAAGTGGAGAATACTTTTGGACTGCTATATTACAAACAATGGAAACACTCATCACCTTTTGCTAGCTATTAAAGTGGGGATAATGCTTTTTATTTTTTACATCTGAGAGGCAAAAAAAAAAAAACAATTCCTCTCAAATAAGCCCTCCTTTTCAGTGGAAAGTTTTAACAATAAGCCCCCGTCTCTTTTAACCCCCATCTCACATTCCCCCCTTTTCTTATTCTTCATAAAAGACTGTATCAATCAATGAAGACTGTAAAACTTTGTGTGGACCGATCCAGGATGGTTTATTCACCAACTGGAAGTTCGGATTTGTTTTTGATCCTCGGCTGCTTGACCTCCAACCTTCTTGTACTTGATTTTTTTCACTCGGCATTTTTTTTGTGGGGGACTAATACCAGCGTCTTTGCTCTAGATTAAATAAGGCCCCTATCTCTATTGCCTGGAAGCATTGTGAACAGGGTTAGATATCAAAAGCCAATAAGAAAGTCTAAAAACTGTGAAGTAGATCAAGATTGACAATAATTTTATTACCTGTACCAGATCAGGTGACAAAATATCCAAACTGAACAAGGTACTGTTTAATTTTCAACCAAAGTTCCCTCAAATTATATTAACAAAATAGTGTTCTATGGCTCTTGTTTTCAGAAAAAAAATTGTTTTTTTACATATCAGAGTTCCGTTAAAATGTGTGCAAATAGAAAAACAATAGTCAAAAACCTCATGAAGATCTGTAACAAAACTGACGATAACTTATCAGCTCAAAGTGTCTGCGACTTAATTTAATGCTTAGTTGAATTTCGCAGCGGAAGAGGTTTTAGAGCGTCATGACAAAAAATTCCCTGGCTTCAGAGGTCTGTTCTCGAAATTCCTAAGATGAAATAAATTTCGCTCACGGTTAAAAAAGCTCCCCTTTCACGAAAGAAGAAAACTGAACCTCTGGCACTCAGGGTAGGCAAAAAAAGAAAACAGTGAAGAAAGGTCGGTATCGAGAAATTAAGTTGTAGACAGTTGTTAAGTGCCGTGTACGCTAGAACGTTCAGGCTTAAAATTAAACCCAGGTCATTGAACAGAAAATAAGATCGCTATATCATTCTACCGTATTCCTGTGGCTTGTAAGTGCATTCATTCACATTTTTAGCTTCTTTGAGTTTGCCTCTGCCGCCATTTTGTTTGTTTTTCACCAGGTCTCAAGACCTCGTACCCAGATCCTCTCACTCTTTAGCTTGGCCGCCAGTTTGAATAAATTTCCACTCTCCGTGGACAAATCAGTCACGTGATTTCTGCTGTGTGCCAGGGTCTTCTCTCCTGCCGCCGCCATATTGGAAAGCGAGAAGACCCTGGGGACGAGGTTGGCATTGGTCGCCATTTTGACGACATGGCCGCCGTTCACGACTCTTGGTCTTATGAGGCCAAAAGCAACTTTGCATCATTGTTACTGCAGCTCTCCAACAGTTTGACAAGAAAAGAACTGCAAGAGCTTAAGTTCCTGTGTGGAGGTGTTGTTCCTAGAGATAGACTGGAGACAATCAACCACGGATTCGAACTTTTTGAGGCTTTAGCACACCTCAATAAGTTGTCAGTGAGAGACAGGGATTTCTTGGCGTCCAAACTGATCGCTGTGAATAGAACTGATTTAAGAAACCAACTCTTAGAAATAGAAGGTTAGTTATAGGTCGAGTTATTTTAGTGATCCAGAGAGTTTTTGGATGCAATGTTCCTGTAGCCCCCAGAGCGCGGGTGTGGGGGGATGGTTTTTTAGGGTCTTAAGCAGGTGATACAATTTCTTTTAGCCTCTCAAACAGGGTGTCTTTTTGGAGCTGAAAATTTAAAAAGAGGTTTCTAAAAAGAAATGAATCAGGGTCATGAAATAACTTTCTTGTCTTAAACAGAGTAGCAAAATGAACAGGTTTTGTTTTTAGAGGGCTGAAAACAGTTTGATAGGTTGCGGATCATTGGGTTGTTATGCATTCAATTTTCTTTAAAGTTTATTGGCTGCATTTCACCTTATGATATGATGAGTTGGACAGGGAGGCAGAAGCCCAGGAGATTATGGAGATTTTCCTAAATACAACGAGTTCAACCGACCTTATGCTAAGTGATAAATCTATAAAATACCATAAAATTCCGAAAATCAGCCTCAGGGCTTATATTTTTAAGGGCTTATATCCTTTTTAAGGGGCTTATTTTTGGAGGGGCTTATATTCGGAGGGGCTCATCTATGGAGGGAAATTTGAGTTTACAAATCGATTGGGCTAGCCTTATATATAGTTCGAAGTAAATTTACGGTTTTTACGTTGTATTACTTTGTATTTGAGGGCAATTTTCCAAGTACAAGTCCCCGGGGGGCTTATATTTGGAAGGGCGATTTAATGGCGGGTTTTTTGCGTCACCGGTTTGGGGGGCTTATATATGGAGGAGCTTATACATGGAGAGGCATATTTTCGAAATTTTACGGTAATTGTCTCTTATATGCGGACGATCTAGTGATCTTCTCTAGATCAGCAAAATACCCTCAAATAATCCTTAATAAGCAAATACTGATTTAAGTGTAAAATATTATTTTAGACGAGACAAAAATTATGATGTTTAATTACTGTTGTAGGTCTTTAAACAACTGCTCGTTCAGATACGGCGCTGATGAACTCTGAAACCCCAAGTCCTACAAATATCTTGGACTAATAATGAGTCCTTATGGAAACTTTAATCTCGCTAGGCAAGAGATGAAGAAAGTTAAACTCAAAGCCCTCTATAAATTATGAAAGGAGATGGGAAACCACTTCAAAGAAAATATAAAATTAACGGTGAAGTTACTTGATGCACTGATGTCTCCCGTACTCTTTTATGCGAGTGAAGTATGGGGGATTGATTGTAATGGACAATTAGAAAAGGATCCAGCAGAATTAGTTCGAAGTAAATTCTTGAAGTGGTCGCTGGGACTTAATAAATACTGCAATAATAATGCATGTGGGACTGAGACAGGAAGGTTTCCTATGAGAATTGAAGCTCAATAAAGGAACTTTAAGTTCTGGTTAACCTTAGCCAAAAATGAAAACAAATTATCCCAAATAGAATACAATGACATTAAATGGAATGAAAATAAAGCTTTCTGGGGTAAAAAAAATCAAAAGCTTATTAGAACAGATAGGGTTAAGGAGAATTCTGGATGAAAGCACATTATGTGGACATAGGAATTGTAAACATGATCAGGCAATGACTTAAGGATATCAAACTACAAAGGTGGCTAAGTAAAATAAATAACAACACTGGAAAAGATGCTAACCAAAGCAACAAAATGAGGACCTACCGGATATTCAAATTGTTAGACAATTATAAATGTGAAGATTACCTACATCAGGTCACCAATACGTGACACAGAGTAACTCTAACAAAACTGCAACTATAAAAGCAACAACTAATTATCCATAGAAACTTCCTTTTAGCCACAAAGCTATAATTTCTTGTTAAGAAGGGTAATAGTTATTATATTTAATGTGAAGTTAAGGCCACCTCCTCTTTATTTGCCCTCTTAGCCAGCAGCTGTATTATGTTAAGCCACAGCTTTGAGTTTAACGTTTGCGAGTACTCAGAAATTACTTTGTTTGGCTGATCCAGGATGAATCCACCATGGACCACCTTCTTGCATGTTATCTGGGGATGAAAGCCATTGGCCAATCACGGTCCATGAAAGAATTAGTTTTAGGTTGCTGTGTCCCAGGGTCTTCTTTCCTGATGCTGCCATTATAGAAAACAACCCTGGGGACAAGGTTGTAGTGCATGTGTAGTTTTCTACCATGTGACAAGGTGGCCATGTTGGTTGACAGGATTATGAAAAATTTTTTCCCCAGTACTAGCATGAAAAAAGAGTATAGTTACCCATGGAGGGAAATGCTTTTGTTTTTGTCCACCAGCCTGAAAACCTGCAATGCAAAACATAGACTTGCTTAAAGTACTTCACTAATCTCCATCTATTTCCTACTTTTAATGAAAATGGCAATTTTCATCTTGGTTGTGTCTGTTTTTTACTTTTTTGGTCTGTAAACACAGATGATCTGTCTTCTTTAATTTTTTGAAAACAGGTTTTTCCCATATTTTCTGGTTATTTGCTCTGAACTCCCGACACCTGGAACTCCTTATAACTTTAACTTTTTCCGATTTACTTGAAAGTTTGAGTCATTGAGAGTCAATAATAATTGTACGTTATTTGATGAGTGGGTTGAGAAAACAGCAGTCATTAAGGCTTATGTGGACCTACATTGAGCAGTATGCATACATAACCATAGCATAGAAAGGGCTTAAGCAGCGATGCCAACTCTCCCGCTTTTGGCAGGAGACTTACACTTTTTTGCCTCGTCTCCCGCTCTCCCGCTTTGGTACATAAATCTCCTGCTTTTTACGTCCACTATAAATGTTGAATACTTAGTAAAAAATAAAACAAATTTAGTTTGAGATTTAGCCCATTTTTAGCGCAAAACTTGAATTTTTCTTATTCGCCGTATGGTTTCTGGGGCATTTTTGCACGTATTCAGTCATTGAAAAAGATTATTTCTAGCATTTCGAATTTTGATAGTATGTACATCATGTAAGATGTCATATAATATCGTAAGTCATTCCCATTGGGGGCTGGATCAATTTTTCGGGGAAACGGGGGGGGGGGGTCATTGAAATTCCACGGGGGGGGGGGGGTAGTGAAAAAAGACAGAGTCTCCTGATTTTAGGTCTCCAGAGGTTGGCATCTCTGCTTAAGAATCTTTGTAGGGGATCTTGAGAGAGGATCTAAAAAGCAATTATGTGAATTTGTGGTTATCATGTTAGGTTAACTCTTGATCATTTAATGCAGAATGCTGACCACTAGTTGTTTCTTGACTGTCATGAGTTGAACTCAATGGCCATGGTTGTACATTAAGCCAACTAGTTATAAGCTCCTGCCAGAAGGGGTTTTTAACCATGCCATGTTTTATTTGTTCTATTCTCCAGATGTGAAACATCCATTGCCAAGTAACTCCAAGAGTGACTTTAGATCATTGTTACTGCAGCTCTCCAACAGTTTGACTGGAAAAGAACTGCAGGCGCTTAAGTTCCTGTGTGGAGATGTTCTTCCTAGAGATAAACTGGAGACAATCAATCACGGATTCGAACTTTTTGAGGCTTTAGAACACCTCAATAAGTTGTCAGTGAGAGACAGGGATTTCTTGGCGTCCAAACTGATTGCTGTGAATAGAATTGATTTAAGAAACCATCTCTTAGAAATAGAAGGTTAGTTATAGATCGAGTTAGTGATCCAGAGAGTTTTTACTTTACAGCTGGAAGAATGATGCAACGTTCCTGTAGCCCCCAGAGTGTTGGGGTGGAGGGGGGGGTTTTTAGGGTCTTAAGCAGATGATACAATTTCTTTTAGCCTCTCAAACAGGGTGTCTTTTTGGAGCTGAACACTTAAAAAGAGTTTTGTGAAAAGAAATGAATCAGGGTCATGAAATAACTTTCTTGTCTTAACCCTTTAAGCCCCAATATCCACATACAAATTCTCCAAACTGATCTCTATACATTTCCTTCAAGAATAAGTTGAGAGAATTTGATAAAAGATCAAGGCATTTTCCCTTAGGTGATCATTTTATTAATTCTCATAACCTAATCTCTTGACATTGTATGGATATTGTTAGGAGAAAATTGACGTTAGACACTATTGGGACTTAAAGGGTTAAACAGAGTAGCAAAATGAACGACTTTTGTTTTTAGAGGGCTGAAAACAGTTTGATCAGTTGCGGATCATTGGGTTGTTATGCAGTCATTTTTCTTTAAAGTTTATTGGCTGCATTTCACCTTATGATAAAGGTACAAGCACGGTAGAAGGATAAAACAATTCTAAAGAAACTGTGTTCAGCCACCTTAAACAGGGTCAGGGTTTGATGGCCTCACTGGGACGCATCTACCCAAACTTCCTTCGAGTGCCCTCCCCCCTTCTCCCCAGCTCTTGTACCTGCATAAGGAGCTAGTGCATGCAATCTCGTCGCCACGGTCTTCTCGTTTTCCAATATCGCGGCGTCAGGAAAGAAGACCCTGGGACAGAAGATCATGTGATCAAAATCTTCAATGAGGTTAGAGATTAATTCAATTTGGTGGCCAATGAGAAGATGTGGGTGAATCTGGAAATAAGATTGATGAAGGCAAATCGGAAAAGGCAAAATGGCGGGAGAAGGAAAATTTTCTTATGGAAGAAAATTACAGCACAAAAGTGCAGACATCAGTAACAGGAAAAGGTAATGTGTTAAAACATTTTGTTATTTGCTGTTCATTGTTTCTTTTCTGATTTAAATTTCGAGAATGAGTCTACACATCAGTCTCTACTCATCAGTCTCTACACATCAGTCTCTACTCATTGTTCCCTGGGTTTTTGGTCTTTCTCCTCACCAAAAAGGACTTGTTGAATCAATCTGACTACAACTTCAAGGCTCAAGTCTGTTTGAGGAGAATTAGAAAGCGTGTGAAATTGGGCTGCTAGCTTTAATCCCTGCTTTTCATACCCTAGAACAGACAGTGGAACCTCGATATAACAAAGGGCTAAGTGACTGGGAAAATGTGTTCACTATAAGGAGGTTTCATTACATCGAGGTTCTTTTACATACATTTTACTATTATTGGGCTTGGAATATCCTTCATTATGCCAAGTACTTCATTATATTAGAGGTTCATTAAATCGAGTTTCCACTGCAAATCTGAAAAAAAGAAAAGTTGAGCAAAGTTGAACGTAACTGTTTATATATTTATAATGACATCCTTAGCTAGTCTCTTTTACTATTTGCTGATTGCAGTGGAGATAAAGTCACGTTTTTAGAATAGTCATGAAGGAATGCTATTTGCCTGATTGTCCTGAATATTTCTCTTTCACTATCTTTTGAAGTTATAATGCATGTGTGTGTTTTTTTTTTCTTTTCAGGTTCAAGAAAGTTAAGAACACAGCTTATGTGCAAGCTGTAACTTGCAGTATCGCAAGCACTGATGTATATTGAATCTTAGTTTTTAGCTTAAGCTTCCTTTCTATTTTCTTTTTCTTGCATTCATTCACAGTATGTACAAACTTCTGAGAATGGACTATAATTTATTTGCATAACTCAGAGATGTTTTAGAAAGATAGTTGAAAAATTAATATAAAATCGACAGAGTTCCTTGATCAGTACTGGATTTAAGATGCGAAGGCAAGGTCCATGTTATTATTCATAACAATCTCTTCAACAATAAAGAATCATATAGTACATGTATACAGAACAATGAAATAGTCATTAGACATCATTTAGAAAAGCTACTTCTTTTTGTAGTTTAAATACCCCCTTTCGCATTTCAACAGTCATCAGTCTCTCATTGGTTGCTTTATTTTGTTGGAAAAAGTTCTCTAGAAATGTTAGTGGGGTGGGGAGGGGGGGCAGGGAGGCAGAAGCCCAGGAGATTATGGAGATTTTCCTAAATACAACGAGTTCAAGCGACATTATGCTAAGTGATAAATCTATAAAATACCGTAAAATTCCGAAAATAAGCCCCGGGGCTTATATTTTTCAAAGGCCCTTTTTGAGGGGCTTACATTCGGAGGGGCTTGTCTACGGAGGGAAATCTGCATTTACAAATCGATTGGGCTAGCCTTATAGTTCGAAGTAAATGTACTGTTTTTGCGTTAATTGTATTACTTTGTATTTGAGAGCAATTTTCCTAGTACAAGCCCCTGGGGGCTTATATTGGAAGGGCGATTTAACAGAGGGTTTTATGCGTCACTGGTTTGGGAGGCTTATATTTGGAGGGGCCTATACATTAAGGGGCATATTTTCAAAATTTTACGAGAATTGAAGCCCAATGTAGGAACTTTAAGTTCTGGTTAGCCTTAACCAAAAATGAAAACAAATTATCCCAAATGGCATACCACGACATTAAATGGAATGAAAATAAAGCTTTCTGGAGTAAAAAAATCAAAAGCTTGTTGGAACAGATACGGGTAAGGAGAATTCTGGATGAAAGCACACTATGCGGACATAGGAATCGTAAACATGATCAGGCAATGACAAAGGTGGCTAAGTGAAATAAATAACGATACTAGAAAAGATGCTAACCAAAGTGTGGCCACATTGAGACCACAACTCAAACACGGTGAATTCTAACACTGAAAAACGGCTGTTGTTTTACTGACAAGTAGATAAGGTTGACGTAAAACTAGAAAGGAAAATACAATTGAAAGATCTTAATTACATGCGACGAGAAATGTACTAAGTAAACAAATGCGAATAGAAAACTTAACTAGAAAATTACAACAGGCGAAATAATAAACCAAATAAAAGAGGAAACGAAAGAAAGACTAATACGTTGTGAGCCTATTATAAATTTGTCCAGAAAAACCAAAATCCATCGCTGAACTAGTGAGCGAAGTAATCTCTGACCGCCGAGCTAACGATCATGCAGCTTTAAAAAATAACGGCTTGGTCACCTGACTCCAAAAGGGCGCGAAAATTACACTACCGCGCGGTCCTGGGCTGGCTAGCAGCCACACAAAGCAACAAAATGAGAACCTACTGGATATTCAAATTGATAGACAATTATAAATGTGAAGCCTACATCGGGTCACCAATACGTGACACAGAATAACTCTAACAAAACTGCAACTAAGCAACCACAAATTAGCCATAGAGACTTCTTCTAGCCACAAAGCTATCATTTCTTGGTAGGAAGGGTAATAGTTATTATATTTAATGTGAAGTTAAGGCCACCTCCTCTTTATTTGCCCTCTTAGCCAGCAGCTGTATTATGTTAAGCCACAGCTTTGAGTTTAACGTTTGCGAGTACTCAGAAATTACTTTGTTTGGCTGATCCAGGATGAATCCACCATGGACCACCTTCTTGCATGTTATCTGGGGATGAGAGCCATCGGCCAATCACGGTCCATGAAAGAATTAGTTTTAGGTTGCTGTGTCCCAGGGTCTTCTTTCCTGATGCTGCCATTTTGGAAAACAACCCTGGGGACGAGGTTGTAGTGCATGTGTAGTTTTCTACCATGTGACAAGGTGGCCATGTTGGTTGACAGGACTATGAAAAATTTTTCCCTGGTATTAGCTTGAAGAAAGATTATAGTTAACCAATGGAGGGAAATCCTTAATGTTTTTGTCTGCCAGCCTGAAAACCTGCAATGCAAAACATAGACTTTCTTAAAGTAGTACTTCACTAATCTCCATTGATCTATTTCCTTAAAACTTTTAATGAAAATGGCAATTTTTCATCTTGGCTGTGTCTGTTTTTTACTTTTTTTTGTCTTCTGTAAACACAGATGATCTGTCGTCTTTAATGTTTTGAAAACAAGTTTTTCCCTCATTTTCTGCTTATTTGCTCCGAACTCCCAATAACTTGAACTCCTGATAACTGCAACTTTTTTTTATTATTTACTTGAAAGTTTGAGTCATTGAGAGTCATTTGTACTATATTTGATGAGTGGGTTAAGAAAACGGCAGTCATAGACTAATGTAGACCTATACATTGAGCAGTATGTATACATATTACCATATCATAGAAAGGGCTTAAGAATCTTTTTAAGCTGAGATCTTGAGAGAGGAGCTAGAAAGCTATTATGTGAATTTTTGTGGTAATCATGCTTGGTTAACTCTTGATCACTAAGTCTTAATGCAGAACTCTGACCACTAGTTGTTTCTTGACTGTCATGAGTTGAACTCAATGGCCATGGTTGTACATTAAGCCAACTAGTTATAAGCTCCTGACAGAAGGGGTTTTTAACCATGCCATGTTTTATTATTTTGTTTTCTCTAGATGTGGAAGATCCATTGCCAAATTTTCGTTCCTTGTCGCCAGTTCCTCCTCATCTCATAGGACTTACAAGTGCACATCAACAGTCTCAACAGGAAGATGGTTGGTCTCTTCAATCCAGTGCCAGCTCACATGTTCCCCATAAACAATATCCTGGATTGCAAAGGTATCATCCAGAAACTGTGCCAGTGACTGTCAGTACACAGGTTCAGCCCCAGGAACAAGCTGGATCTTTGCGGCGATATCATCCAGAACCTGTGCCAGTGACTGACAGTGAACAGGTGGCCCAGAAACAACCTGAGTCTTTGCACCATGCCCTGTCAAGAGTAACAGGAACTGTTGAGACTTTCCCAAGGTTTGTACATCTTTCAGTTTTGTGGCTTGTGATTAAAGGGACTGGTTCACGATAATTCGCATGTGTGAGTTCTGACAGTAGCTGATTGTTTTTCAACCAATCGGAAGCGAGTTAGACGCATGCAAGTAAATTTACAAAATTCAAATTAATTGTTCACGACGCGAGAGTATTTCCGGGCATTTGGTTTGATTTTATTTATCCCCATAATTCAAGTTTATTCTTTGCTGCTCCTCTGATATATGTTGCAGCCGATAAGAATAAGATTTACAGCCCTGTCCTGCTTTGAAACAAACATTTACCAACGTGTATTTTTACGAGGTCGTACCCACGCTAACAAAGCAGTCACCGATCGGCAAACAAAATTTGTAAACAAACATCTTATTACTGTTCTCTCAGTTCGCCTTATATAAATCAAGAATACCTACAAATAGGACCTGACCAGTAACAAAAACGCACAACGTATGAGTATAAAGATTATCCTTAATCGAGCATAAATTTCAAATGCTTAGCAGCAAATGAACAAATTCATTTGCGTTGCATCGAGTCAGTGTTCCGCAAAACAAATGTTATTGAGTAGCACACATAAAGAAACTAGATTATAAACAGAATATTCAGGCAGTAATTTATTTTAAAAACATCAATTCTTAAACATATACGATCGTAAAGCAAAGTTACGAGGAACATTTTAAATGTACCAGATCGGTGAAGATCGCGCGGCCTGTTGCAGTATAACTACAGGTCGGAGTCAAAAATCAAATCAAAGTTGAATGAACTCATGCCTTTAACCACTTTCCAAGTATCGTGTATACTTTTCGTAAGCCACGCACTACTCCTAGAACCATACCAGAACGATAGGCTAAGCTTCTCTATCCCCAAAGACTCTTGAGAACGTCCTGTTGCCGGACGGCCACAATGCTCTTCTGAACCTCCATGATCAAAACATTATTTTTTGCGTCTTCTTAAAACGTAACCAGTCAAACTACACAACCACACGTTAATCACCACTACCGAAGTATAACTAGACCAGCCAAAGCGACGGATGTCCGAATAAAACGAAGGATTTTCAATGATTGTACCGGTAATGGCGATTTCGAATTTAGTGTTGACCCATTCTCGTCCCCAGAGCCACTCGGGCTCTGGGGACGAGAATGGTGCTGACCCGACAAATGTATTCTGAAGAGACAAACGGCGCGCATGCGCATTATCGTGAACCAGTCCCTTTAATACAGCTGTTTTAGTATTATGTATGTGGAAAAATGAGAGACAAAGTGGTTACCAAATGCTTTCTTTTAATGCAGGCTGCACACACCTTCTATTACTCTATTTTCTATGCATGCACCTCCCCCCTCCTCACCCTACTACTTTCTTGGTTTGTATTATGTCTTAATCAGCCATTACAGTTATTTTTAGCAGCCAGGACAACACCTATTATTTTTTATTAACTCCTTATCCCTGTTTGCAGTTTTTGTTTCAATGAATGAATAAAAATTAAGATTGTTGTTGTTGTTGTTGTGACATCCACATACTATCATCGCAGACAACTAAAGCCTGAACAAAGCATTCAAGAAGAATTGGTTGCACCAGATCCTGCAGCAGGGGCCGTGGCTAATCTTCAGGTAAATCTAATGCTGAAACGACATCTTCAATATGAAGGATGTTTCTTAGATCCTGAGAAGTATGATCGAGTGAAGTGTTTAGGACATGGAGCATATGCTAGGGTACATTTATGCTTTTTTTTATGGAGTATTTTGTGCATAAATTTTGGCATGCAACAATAGTCTGAGTATGGATCAAAGAATGAAATGAAGGCTGATTATAGTGACTTTGATTCACTCAAAAGTATCGTACTCACTTTTGTGTTCAAAATCGTTTGTGCAAACAAACTAGGTGAGAAGATCCTACCAAACATAACCTTAAAATATTGCTGTTCAGTCTTGCAAGTTAAGTACCACCCAGAAAGTAATGTTAAAAAATGATGCCTGGAGGCTTATAAGGTGCAGAAGTATTGACGCCCTAAAAGTAAAATCATTCTCTTTTACGACCCCTCCCCCCCCCCCTTGAAAAAATAACAACAACAACAACCAAAGAGAGACTTTTGTCATTGCCTTTTTATTAATTTAGTAATTGATCAATCAGAAGTCAAAGGAAGAAGACAGGAAGGAATTGCAAGTTTCAAAGCTCACAAAAACAAACAACCTCACAACAACAAATGCATGCAACAATATGACCGCAATTGCGAGATTTGAACAAAAGAAAATTGGAAATAAATCTCAGTGCATTTTGTCTCTGTTCAGGAGTTTTTTGTTGTATTTGTACCATGTCACATGCATGCTGGAATGTGTTGACTTTATCTAAATGTTGGATGCAATTTCAATTTCCTGTCTGGGCCTCAGGAAACTATCAGGTGTTCCTTTGTCAAGTCCATTTCCAAAGAAATGCTCAGGTCGAGATTTAGATTTAATGTAGTGAATTCACTTAGCATGGATTCTTTGGATTCAAAATCCACTTAGGGATTATAGGAAAGAAATATGACATCTGTTTTTGGAGTCGAGCCTGAATTTTTTATTTTCCCCAAGCATTAACATACCAAATGTTAGTGAAGTACAGTGAGATGGGTTTTTGCAGGAACCTGACCTTCAAAAGAATGAGTATATGAATGATGACCTGGACCTTGAAGTTGATATAGGATCCCGTAAGTATTTATTATTATTATTTTTTGTTACTGAGGTGTTTGTCTCCCATGGAGCCATTATTTACATTGTCACACAATGCCTTGGAACCCATTTGACCAAGACAAATTCTCGAGGGAAATTTTCTTTGCTCGCACAATGTTACAATTTACTCTCTCCAAAGCTGTTTTTCTTTCTGTGACCTTTGATCGATGCATTTGGTGAAGAAAGACAAGTAACATGAAAGGACTGTTTAAGGAGACCCAAAATGTATATTGTAGTTTCGAAAACGAAGACTGAAGCACGAAGCACCCAAATCTCGAAAACGAAGCACCCAAAACTCGAAAACGGAGCACCTAAATTTCGAAAACGAAGCACCTATCGAAAACGAAGCAACCAAAACTCGAAACCACTGTAGGTTGAATGAGTACAATTTTACGTCTTGCATGACGCAATCCGAATCAGGTGGAGGCAGCGGATGCGTTTGCACCCTCAAAGGTCCACAAAATCCATCCCAAGGGTTTTATACAAGCCTCCAACTGTTTAACTGAACGTTTCTAGATAGGATATCCTGTATTAATTTTATTATTAGTCTCGCTATACTTGATACATCTTATCTTAATATGCGTTTTTTTCGGTACACATACATATTTATGTGACCGTATTTTGACGTATGCAAGTATGCGCGAGCACTAAAACAAAAGGTCTGAAACGAGGTTTAAAACGGAGAGTGAGGCTCGCGCATAAGACTCTTACGCCACGCTAGACAAAGGACTAGACAAAGGACGGCTGTGTGTGGGAGACTGATGCCTGCCTGGCTTTTTCTGGCCAATGATACAGTAACATTCTAGAAACAGTTTGGGCGTTCTCGGTTTTCTGATCACGACCAAAACATAGCCTCCCGCGCAGCGGCGGAAATACATTTACAACACCTCGCAGTTCTAATTGACTAGATTTTAACTGCATTCGATTCGTTATCGTGCTTGATTCCTGCTGTATTAGCAAGACACTGTCTCGTGTTTATAAAGGACAGACCGGTTTCAAGTTTAGGGGTCTTCGTTTTCGAGTTTTTGGGTGCTTCGTTTTCGACATTTGGGTGCTTCGTGCTTCGGCCTTCGTTTTCGAAACTAACATTTATTTAAACGCCACGAATGAACATTTGTTAGTCAATATGACACAAATTCTTTTGTGCTCAGAATGAGCACAACAGTATGCAAATTTGAAAGGTTTAGTAGCATAAATATATAACATCTATCTAAAAAAAAGCATTGGAATGACTTTCAAAAATAAGAAAAAGGACGTGAAAAATTTATTCATCCAGTCCGTTCGCACGTTGACAGTTTTGATAGACGTGTGACATGTGAAAAGCGGAAGTCTCTTGTCTCTTCCGGTTAAGTCGGGGAGATTCATCGAGATTTTGTGGGCGTTTTTAATAAAACAATTATTCCACTCGCTTTTGTTGGATATGAGATGATTATAGCCCACGCGCCCTCGTGGAATAATTGTTAAATTTTTTTTTTCGGCTAATCAGAGATGGTTTTTTTCGGATTCTTCCTGAGGTTAGTGATCCCTGTCCCTATACAAAAAGATCGAGGCCTCTGGGAACTAGATTGCCCATGAGGCTTCAAGGTCCCAACAAGGGTTGAACAACAACGACCTCCATTTTCACGACATGAGTGGTTACGAAGTCGACATAAACCAGGGCATACCCGATAACAGGGCCCTGAACTTAGCGTACAAGACCCATAGTAGGGACAGTAACTCCAACAGTAACTTTAGATTATTGTTACTGCAGCTCTTCAACAGTTTGACAAAGAACTGCAGGTCTTGAGGTCTCAGGGTCTTGAGTCTTGCGTCTTAAGCAGGGTATACTATTTCTATCTTAGCCTCTCCAACAGGATGTCTTTTTCACGGAGCCCAGTAAGTGCCATGCAAATTTTTGTGCTCAATTTCTCCTTTCGTGACTTTTTTCTCGCCTTTAAGTATTTTTCCGGACTTTTTTCTTGACTTTTTTCCCGACTTTTGTTTCAACTTTTTCCCAACTTTTTTCTCGACTTTTTTCACCGCTGATCACATACATAAAAGGCTCATTGATGGGTAGAAGTGCTTGGAGACATGGCCAGGTTTTGTAACTATTTTATTTAGTGCTGAAAATGTAATACCGTGCAGTTTGACCTCCCTACCCTCCTGTCTTACAACTAGGCAATGCTGAGCTAGGAAAACTTGTAAATGCTAGATTGGAAAAATTAGAATTGTTTCAGTCTCAAAATGTTCGGGATGAACTAATTACCCAAAGTGTCTACGGTGGTAAAATAGCTTCGTCAGCTCAAACCAAAACGCCCCACGCTCAGCTCAAACACAGTTGTTGTTATTTAGTACATTATATTGTTTTGACAATTGCTCTTAAAGTTAACTGTCAATTTATTCAACTCAATTCAACTGATAATTTATTCAGACAATGAACATATAACACTTTTTCAGAATATTTAATTAAGTCACTATTTCGTAAGAGCCTGTGTTAGAGATACATTTCTGGATTAATTTCAAGCTTGTGATTTTCATTAACAGTTCTGTTCAAGTTTCCAAAATACGTTGTCTCAGACGTTCTTGCCCTTTTTATCCCTGTTAATCCTTATTTATGTTCTCGCCTTTTTGTTCGACCTATAAATCACCGGTACCGTTTTCAAATATTGATGGCAATGAGCAGTTTTATCGGTATCATAAAACAATAACACTTTAGCTCTAAAAAGTCAAACAAAACAATCTTTCGGAGATTTTAAACAGAATTACGGGCAAAAATGTAACGGTCCTTTTACCTAGGTATCATACCCCCAACTTTCTCTCCCCTATTGATGCAGCCCCTTACGGGGTCGGATTACAGTCCCCCTTGCCCACAACCTCACAAGGTGCACAGTCCCTGACTTCCACAACCCCGCAAGGGGCAATGCTATCCCTATGCATCGACAACAACCTCTTGGGGTCACTATGGTTTCCTCGCCTACCAAGACCACGAAATTTTAAAATGCTCTTCAAATGCCACATACTTTATGTAAAAACAATGAGTTAACCCGACAAGCGGCAAGATCTCTTTGAAATTCATTCCCAAATAACATTTTCTGGCTCAGCATTGCCTTGTTGTTGTAAGACAGGAAGGTAGGGAGGTCAAACTTTACGGTATAACATTTTCAGCGATAAATAAAATAGTTACAAAGCCAAGAATCAGACCTGGCCTTTGACGTATGTGATCAGCAGTGAAAAAAGTCGAGAAAATTAAGCCAAGAAAGAGTCGGCAAAAAAGTCGAGAAGAAAGTCCGGAAAAAAATCGAGAAAAAGTCGGGAAAAGTCCGGAAAAAAACTTAAAGTGAGAAAAAAGTCAGGAAAAAAACTTAAAGGCAAGAAAAAGTTCGAGAAAGGAGAAATCGAGCTCAAAATTTGCGTGGCACTTACTGGGCCCCGTACTTTTTGGAGCTGAAAATTTAAAAAGAGTTTTAAATGTTAATTCTGTATGCGTAAAGAAATTTTGTCTCAAACAGAGTAGCAAAATGAACAATTTCTGTTTTTAGGTCGCTGAACACAGTTTGATAGGTTGGGGATCATTGGGTTGTTGTGCATTCTCTTTCTTTAAAAGCTTATTGGCTGCATATCTCCTTATGATAAAGAGAGAAACTGTGCTCAGCCACCTTAAACAGGGTCATTTAACTGAAATATTGTGTTTCACTCTAAATTGAACTTTTAGTGGTCAGTGTTGACTTTAACACTTTTTTTGTGTACTAGATATCATTCAGGCTGAACATCAAGCTATGGTGAATACCACTACAACAGGTTCGTTTTACATCTGACAAAAGTGCCCAGTGATCACTTTTGACTTACCTGTACTTTTGTGCTTGGGTGAAAAGGAAATGCTTGCGTTTGCACTAGCCCTATAATATACATGGATTTTTCAATTTCTTCTTGGTTTATTGACTACAGCAATTTGCTTAACAGGTTCTCCAATAGAGGAAAGACACCCATTTCCAAATTTAAATCCACTTGGGCCAGCTTTGCCAATTACATCACCAACAAGTACCCCAACTGGTACAGCTGCAGATCGGCAGCCTCAACAGCCAAGTAGGGTCCCTGTGCCAGTGATTGCAAGTTTACAGGAGCCCCAGGAGCAAGTGGAGCCGGTGCATCATGCAGCTTCAAATGCCTCCACCAGCCCAACAGATCATTCTACTGGCTCGACAAGAATACCTCGCCCTCCTGGGGCTGTTGATACTTTCTCAAGGTTTGAAAAAAATTAATTTGAGTATTTGACTGTTTAGTATTATTACATGTATAGCTGAAAGCTTACTTGTGACAGTAAATAGTTTGATAGGTCAGATAAGAGATGAAAGTAGGGACTTGAAAAACAGAGCAAACAGAAGCATCAGAAGCTCTTAAGCTCTTGTCTCGGAACGTGACATGATCGCAATTTAAATGCTCAAACCCTCTTCACTAGTTGCAACTGGCGAGGAACACCTTAGTTCTGAAACTGCAGTCTTGCTTTAGAACTTGTAACAGAAAGTCAGATACACTGTTAAGACTCTTACCAATGGATGAACTACAGGACATCACCAGCTATAGTCCAAGGACTCGCTTACCTCAAGAAAAATAAAATTGGACTTTATCGGCGCCTAACGAACTTGACTGACTTACAGCTCAATTCTCCATTGTTGGTTTAGCTTTCAGTTGAACTACAATTCAGACCAGTAGATATCTATCCTGTGAGAATTGAAGATCCAATTAACAATTACATGTAACAACACTAAAGAGCTTGGCCTCATCCCATTCACTGACAAAAAAAGCTACATGCCAGGCATTTTGAAAAAAAAAACTAACATCTTTATTGAAAGGTTGTATAGCCGCAATGAAAAACTTAAGGTTTAACCAGAGGTCAAAGAAAATCAGTGCTAAAACTGCATGTGTATTTGACTGTTTAGTCTTATTATAACTGACAGCTTCTTACAGTAACCAATTAAATAATTTCTACAGGTGATGTTATGCAAACCCAAAACGAGAGAAAGACAATTTAAACAAAGGATAAAAACTGGTTGTCTGATGATTAAAATAATACTATGAAAGTTTGGTCTGAAAGTCTATCTTTCACCCTCCTGAGTCCTATCTGCTTCTATACCAAGGCCCAGTTGTTCGAAGGCCGATTAGCGCTTAACCCAGGGTTAAATTTATTAACCCGGGTTTCTTTTTCTATTGTTCAAACGCATTTTCTTGGATAATTTTCTCTGTTATTTTTAAGAGCATCCAATCATCAACTTGTTGTCATGACAGAAAGAATTAAACTGAGTTTTCTTTTTAAGTTTTCAAATCTGAATTCAAATTTCGCACTAACCCTGGGTTATCTTAACCCAGATTTGAACAACCTGGCCCAGCATGTTCGGTGAGGTTGAAGATTTGCTTTTAAATCAAGTTAATTCCCAGCCTGTTGTTAAAAATTACTAAAGCCTTATCAGCTTTAAAATGGTTGGGAATCTCCATCAGGTTGAGTTGTTGTGCAATAATAGTGAGCTTCTGCAACAGGATGGCAAAGAGAAGAGGGCAGCAAACATTTTTGGTCTGAGACCGACAAAAAAAGGTTTCGAGCATTTATTTTTATGTTTCACTCAACTTGGTGGCAGCTGACTCACTGTTTGAATATTATGATTATTAATGGTGGTGCAATTTTGTTTTATTTCAGGCAGCCAGTCTTTGAACAGGCTACAGCTGGGAGAGAAGTGGATGTGCAAGATTCAGGAGCAGGTATAGTAACAGATGCATTACATATTCTACAGACTACAGTCAAACCTCTGTAATACGGTCACCAAAAGGACAGAACCAAGTGTCCGCTTTACAGAATTGTCTGTATTATAGAGGTAGGGAATGTATGATTTTTGGCATTTCTGGGACCAAACAAACTGTCTGTAATAGAGAGGTGTTCGTATTATAGAGGTGTTTGTAAGGAGAGGTTAGACTATACCATCAATGACTCATGAAAGCTGGTGTACCATTTTTACACCACTAAATCTTAGTCGACTGTTACTGACACTGTACAAATGACTTATTGATAAACTGAAGCAAAACTGACAGCAAATGACTGGACAACCGACAACTGATTTGACTAACAATAAACGATTAACTGTAACAAAAGAACTATCAAAATGAACCAATGACATAGAGTCTTCTTAGCCGATGACATCATTGCTTAACTGACAGACGACCAATAACATTGCAGCTTAAACCAGAGTTTAATACCATCAATTGACTTGATACAACTCACTTTGACTCCGAAAATGACTACTGCACTGGTTGTTGAAGTGCCAGTCACTGTCAACAACATTCCTATTCAGTACTTAACTCACCTGGACGATTATGCTCAACCCACTTACTGTATGAAATGACTCTTGAGTTCAAACCTTTCACAGTAACAGATGCCCAGGTGGACCTAGAGCTCAAAGGAAACCTTCAGTCTGATGGATGCTTCTTGGATCCCGAGAAGTATGATCCAGTGAAATTCTTAGGATCTGGAGGATATGCGATGGTAAAGGGTACAAATTCAGTGTGTATAGAGGATATTGCGGCCTTCTTAGGGATTTATGTATGCCCCTGGGCTAGTGCAGGGTTGTCAAAAGTAGCCGGCTGTCGGCGAAAATCGCCGCCTACATGGTTAGTATCGGCTGGCTACTCTGCTTGGCATTTCTTTACGGATGGCATTTCTTAAATAAAATATCCCTGGACTGGCCGTTGCAACTCAGTCGTCTACCTCAAAAGTTCTGACAACCCTGCTAGTGTAAATTTCAAAACCCGATGTTGTATGTAATTGAAGAGGAGTTCATGTTGCTGTTCGTATTTTACTATTGTATTTGGGATTTTCCCTGTCACTGTCGCAGATTCAACCCATCTTTGTGTCGTTTGTCGCCATTTCCTCTGTTTTACGTTGCTGTTTCAAGAATACCCCAGGGAAACCTTTAAAATTAGACTTTCACCTAATCAGTCCTTGATTTTATTGTTATTTGAAAAGTCTAGGAATTTACTTCTCCACGCTGCAATGCATGATTGATAAACAAAAGCAACAGTTTTAATTTAGAGGCTTTGTGAGGCCCTACTTGATTTTGTGCAGAATTTAGGCTAGTTTTCATTAATTACATGATTTCATATGGATTATGCAATCCAGTGCAATTTTAGATCATAATTGGTAGGGGGAGGGATGTCTACTGCAGGAACCCTTTCAATAATGTAATTCTTCATTTGAAAGTGCTTATAATTTTAAGGGCAGACTGAGGCTTGATTTTCTTATAACAGGTCTATCTTGTGGTTGAAAAACGAACAGGCAAGAAAATGGCTTCTAAGATGTGTGATCTACGGGCAAATGCCACTAAATCACAAAAGGAAAAAAGGGACGCACAAAAGGTACAAAGTTGTAACTACAATTTATGATCCAATATTATCGTTCCATTTATAGTCAAGGCAGTCCAAAAAAACTTTTTGTGGTCTTTTTTCTTGTCCGTACCATCACTTGGGTATTTTTGGGATTTTCGTTTGCTGGTCTGAATTTTAAGTTCTCTTGTCCAAAAAAATCCCTTCTTCACTGCCCCCCAGAGTAAGTAATGAAGGCATGAAGTGAGATTTTCGGAGGGATTGAGTGAGCATGAATAAAACATAAAAATGGTAAAGGTCCTTAATATTTTACGTTGGTAACCTGTAACAATCATCATTTGACTGACAAACCTGAGGCTGATGGCGCACTCATTTACCCACCACCACGACCACCACAACCACCACAACCACTGCTTTCTAAGACAGGAGTGCTGTTGATGGTTAGACTAACGTTTGAGTCTGTGGATGAAATACTACGGTGTGACCAAATGAAAGCTACTGAGCAGAACTTTCCTGTGGTACTGTTTATTATGCTGTACAAGGTGGTTCTAACTTTTGTGTCTGTGGATGAAATCCTGTGGTGTGACCATTCAAATGAAAGCTACTGAGCAGTACTTTCCTGTGGTACTGTTTATTATGCTGTACAAGGTGGTTCTAACTTTTAAATCTGTGAATGAAATCCTTTGATGTGACCATTCAAATTAAAGCTTCTGAGCAGTACTTTCCTGTGATTCTGTTTATTATGCTGTACAAGGTGGTTCTAACTTTTAAATCTGAGAATGAAATCCTTTGATGTGACCATTCAAATTAAAGCTTCTGAGCAGTACTTTCCTGTGGTACTGTTTATTATGCTGTACAAGGTGGTTCTAACTTTTGAGTCTGAGGACTAAACCCTATGGTGTGCCCTTTTAAGTGAAAGCTTTTTGGAAGTTCCTTCACTTTAATAGTATTACTTGTTTTCGTCATTTTCTGAAAATGAAATTGAAAAAAATTGTGTTGAATTTTGACTTTTGTCACTTTTCGAAAAAGGGTGAAGATTTTTTTATTAGGGAATTTTAGATATGATTGTTGTCAAAAATGGTTTAGTTTTTGTTTTTGGTCTTAGCTGGTAGAGTCTATGGAAATTGAAGTCATGGCTCTAGCTTTATTAAAACACGAGCACATTGTTGAGTTCTTTTTTGTGGAGCATATTCGCAACACCGCTCTTCTGTTTCTGGAGTACATGGAAGGGGTAAGAAAACTTTAAGTTGATCAAAATGAGTTATGTATAAAAGTTCAGATAAAATCAGTGGGATCTGATTCAAGAGGGCGTAATGTATGAACTTAAAAATATGCAAAAAAGTATGCAATTAAACTAGAAAAAAATAAACTGTGGAGAAAATGTAAACTGGTCTGAATAGTTAACTGCAGAATTTAAAAAATTATATAATATAATTGATAATATCATAGTAAATAACACTTCACCGATTATTTTTCTTATCTTATTTACATGTACTTCATGTTCATTTTATTGCGTTTTTCTGTTTGTTTACTTATATTTTTAATAGTTTTGGGTAAATATGTATATATCATTTTTTCACCCACCCGACTCGATTTGCCATGCTAGTGTCGAGCGGGACATATGTGATACAAACATTTGGTGTATTCGTGTTTGGTGTTATTAAAGTAAAGTGTTTTAACTGTAAGAATACGTTATAGTATGAACTATGAAATGGATGTTTTAACCATTTAAATGGGTGAACCGATCATTTCACGGTATAGACTAATGAAAAATAAAACTCAGGACTGGTGAATTTCGTTTAAGAATCGCGTTTACCAATTTCCATTTACCGAGAAACGGCCCCAAAATGCTCATACTGGTTTCAAAAATGAGTTAGAAGAAATGGGGCACGAATTTCCCTGTGGAACATTCCGGCCGAAAAACAGGACTACCTTTTCAGACATTCCGTTAATTTGCTCTTTAACGACCCAAAAAATCGTGTTCTTTTTCCTTTCTAACCGGAATTTCCTGAAGCTTTTCGTAAATAGTGAACGTTTTTCCGCCAGGGTACTCTAGAAGAGTTCCTTGAGGACAACGGACCTTTGGAAGAACCTTTGGTGGTCAAGTTCACAAGTCAACTTCTTTCTGCAGTTAATTATCTCCACACGAATGGAAAAAAGCACATTGTACACAAAGATATAAAAGGTTAGGTTTGAATAGCTTTTGCCTCTTGTACGCAAGCCTGAGTGGTCGAAGGTTTTCGAAAACAGGTGTTCATGTGAACGGAGGTTTCGTACAACGCTTTCCAATTTTTTTTCTATGAGAACGTAAGCTTCAGGGGCACTCAGCGACTTTTTTCTGCAAAATAACTGTCTAAGGGGCAAATATTACCTAGAAATTTCTAAAGCTTGAGAAAAGCTACAAATTTCTGGATAACCGTTCCATTCGTCTAAAATATTCGGAGGTTTTCTAAGATTTTCAGAGGTTGTGTTATCCACATTTTAATAAAGGTCTCCTAAAACTTTCGGTATATATAAAGACAAAACGTCCCCTATAAGTTTCTAATGAAAGCAAGGCTACTTCATGTCCTCGAACTTTTGACCGGACCCGTACGGGTAGCTAACACTTTCGGATGAGACGAAAAAGCCACCTAAAACTTTCGTGACGACCAAAGTTCCCTAAGACATCCGAACAGATGAATAGTTTTTAGGGCAACTCCAAATTAACCAAACAGGCTTCAAAAAGCATAGAGAAAAGCATCTAAGACATTTCTGGCGTATTTGGAAACGTTCGGTCGTTGGGTGCCCCTGAAGCTTGAGCACAGGCTACGTAGTGTATACTTTCCCTGGATGACTTGCCGCCTTTCTTATTAAATTTTACGGCCTTCCAGTGTGGCGCTGTAGTCAGCTGTGTAATTGAGACCGACGTTTATTTTCGTACTTGTAAAACACAGAAGTACAAAATTTTCTTCATTTTCTACAACAAAATCATTGGAAGAACGTAGAAAACGTTAGTTGTAAACGGGTATATGTTACTTTCAAGATGCGAACGTGCTAGTGTAACACGTAACTTTTTTTAATGGTTTTCGAAACGCACTAGTGTGACCTCTAGTGTGGTCATTGCTTAAGTGTTAATTGAATATATTGGTTATTTTAGGTTCGAATATTTTGCTGGATGGCGCCCAGAAAAACATAAAACTGGCTGACTTCGGAATCTGTACAATAATGGAGGTAAGATCATGTCCTTTATATGAGGTTTTCATACTCTTTTGCCCTGAAAATGGGAAGTACATACAGTAGCACACCGGTAACTCAAACTCTGAAGGGAACCAAAAAACAGTTCGAGTTTGCGGGGAATTCGAGTCAGCGGGGAATTGCTAAGGGAGTAAAAAGGACTCGAAGTAATCGTCTGAAATTCAGGCTAGCGGGGAATTCGAGAGATCCGAGTTCGAGTTATCGAGGTTTTACTGTATACCGGTTGGCTTCAAATAAATCAGCCCTTTGCCGTTTTGCCAGCCTTGCTTTCAATTTTGTTCTAATTCCCACTTCAAGTGACGTCTGGCATTAGCATCTCCACATGAGAGATCCGGCAAAAAAGAAACCAGTCGGTTTTATTTACGCGTCAAGTGGACCTTTGTATTCAAGGGTTTTTATCATGGGAGCAATGTAGTAGCACATGGAGGTGCAATTGTACTCTTTTTTATCGCTAGCCTCTCGCTCTAAACACATATTATTTGTCGTCTGTCTCATGACTACCTGTTGATTTCTACAGAAACTAAGAACCGCCACAGATGGCATGGTGACCAAAAATAATGTAGCCTCTTTTCATTGGACAAGCCCTGAGCTTCTCGGTGGGGAAACATTTACTCGAAACACAGATATATGGTAAGCAGAATTCGACGGCTTTCTTGTTTGTGGAAGAATTGACTTTAAGTCTTTGCCTAGTTAATGTCACTCTCTTTGTCTGAGTTTCAGGTCTGTAAATTATAACATTGCGCAGCGCTATTACTGTAGCGAGTGATATCGTCTTCTCCATACATCAATGCTTTGATTTTTTTTTTGGAGTTGACGGATTCCGCGCTTGCGAGTTTACGAGATATTATAAAATTATTTCACGAGCCCTTCAGTCAGTTTTAGGCTGTGTTCCAACCTCTTTCCCAGGGTTCTCTCCTACCCACTCTTCGGAGCTCCGAAATTTTGCTTCACTTCGAGTTTGAGATTTCTTACAGTTCTTGCATTGCTTTTAGGAGTGTTGGATGTACAGTAGTGGAGATGCTAACAACAAAGCCACCTTTATACTTTGAAAATCTGACTAGAAGTCAAAAAATGTTCCGGATTGTAAACAATCAAATTGAACCACCGACTGATTGTACGTCGCTGGCGTTTGGGTTTTTAAAACGGTGCCTTTGGTAAGTATATTACCTGCATACAGGAGCCCATAACCCGGAGCGAGCAGCTCCCATACTAGGCCTATGTCACGGCGTTTTTACGGACCAGTTTATTTTTAGACACATTTAAGGACACTTTTTCGCGCGAAAATAGAATCTCCACCATGTCTATGAGCGCATTCGAAGTATAAGATATCAAAAACGAAAACTAAACGTTATTAAAAGGCAAACCATATCAGTTTAAGGTCTGTAGGTTATGCTGACTGGTTTGTGGAATTTAAAAGATATTCAAAATTCGCGCCAAAACCGCTATAAAAAATAAACTGGTCCGTGAAAAAGCCGTGACCAAGCGCATGGAAGTTGCTTGCTCCGGGTTTTGGGCTCCTGTTGCATGCCTAAAATGGCGGCTAGTTTAATATTCTTTTGTTCATTTTAAAACCAGCCTCCCAACTTCGTTCTTAAGATCAGAATTTAAAAGAATATCTTATCATAAGCAAAGTTATTTGAGCTGATATAAGCAAAAGAATATTAAGCTAGTCGCCGTTTTTGGAATGGGCTAATTCGTTAGTTAGGGAGAGGTAGAGTCAAGATTGATTTTCTTATGGTAGTATGGTTCTATGGCTCTCACAAATTTATGACTATTCTATTGAGATTTCTTACCTGGAACCTGCCTTTTTGAAAAAACAGGTTTCTACGATACTGAGCCCATCCATACTCGTTGTATTGTATCTTTTTGTATTTTAGGCTGCGTTTATTTGGATAAAAATTGCCCCGGGAAAGAGGGTCACCCTTCCAGCCGAGTTAACTTTCGCGAGCGTTTATATCAAGTGAGAAAAAAGCCGACCCATTTGTCCAAGCCAATAGCGCTCGCTCATACTGTGATTGTGCCGCCATTGCATCCTCACAGATCGTTTTTTTTTTTCTAACTTTCTATTCAGTCCAAAGGAAACTCGCGCATCCGCTGCGGAGCTTTTGGTAGATCCTTATCTGAACCAAGAATGACGTGTACGAAGGCTCACGTCTGGTCATGTGGAGAGTGTTTGGACGCCACGTGCTTCCATTTAACCAAGAGAGGGAATAGAGCGACATCCAGCGGATAAGCTCCTCCGGGCCTCGTTTTATCCTTAGGGTTTTAAATAGGGAGCTTAAGGACAGCAACTAGGCCTGTCCCGATTGTGCTCGTAAAATGCTGGAAAGTTGCTTATTGGGATGCTAAAAAGTTGCTAAACAAAACTGCCACAAATCCCAAACGTCGCTACCTAAATTTCAAAAGTCGCTACGTAAGTTTCTTGATATTTTTAATATTTTTGTTAATTAAAAGCTTTATTTTCCGTTCTTCACAATAATTGTTAACATCGGTCAAGAAAAATAGCTTGAAAGTTACCTTTAAACCGTGGCAGGATTAGCTCAGTCGGTGGAGCGTTTGACTGTAGAGCGGGAGGTCACGGGTTCGATTCCCGGGGCAGAACCATTACTCAGGGTCTTAAAATGACTCAGAAATGACGGTACTTCCTTTGCACTGCAAGCGGCTAGACCTTCGCGTGGCTCGGATGACCACGTAAAATGGCGGTCCCGTCTCCAGTACGAGACGTAAAAATAGTGTCCCCAATTAGCACTTTCGTGCTAAATACATTGACACTCAAAAAGTTCAAAGTGCAAAGAGTTGCTCGTAAATATGGACGATACCACAGGTATTTCTTTTTTTTGTAATTGACTGAAATGCGCATTAAATTTTTCCTCTAGCTTTTTTCTTTAACTTGAAGTTTTCTGTGAAATCGTTGACTTTTTCATGCTTGATATGTGCTCTAAACCTATATTTTGCTCAAAAATTGCTCAGAAACGCATAAGTTGCTCAAAAGTTGCCGAGCACAATCGGGATAGGCCTGACGGCAACAAGAACGTCAAAAAAGCAATATATAAAGATTGGAAAAACCAGACTCGTACCCAGTAGCTTCTCTGTATTCGCGCTGTGATTAATGGAAAGGATTTAGTGATTCGCGGTGCATAAAGGGAAGGACGGAAGAAAACCGCGAAGCGTCCTCCTTTTTGAGCTATTTTGAAAAAATAGCTCATATGTCAGTGGTGTGAGCGTATGTATCTTTGTGGCTTTGTAACTTTGTATCTTTGTAACTTTGTAACTTTGTAACTTTGTATCTTTGTAACTTTGTATGTTCGGATGTTTGTTGCAAGAGCCAATAAGGTTGAAGGTACTATTAGTTGATGCTTAGGAACCAATGAGATCTTAGCATCTACTTAAACATGGCATTGGTAAAGGTCGAACAAGGGCACTTTGAGACCGCCATCTTCATTCTTCACAATTTTTTCGTCTTTTATTACGGCTACAGGTGTTTGGAAACATTATGTTAAATATCTTCATGATTCAAACGCTGTGTACAGTGATGCAGCTGTTTAAGGGTTCATATTTTAGTATGGATGCTGCTTCAAGGCATTTCTGACCTAATTCGGCTATCTGTACAACGCACGTCAGTATGAGTTCTGTTTCACCCGCTTCACTTGGGTAGAGTATAAAAGATCATATATTTTCAAAGCTCTTCCAATGAAGCAATAATTGATATTTAGATATAGACTTTAATTCGAAAGTATGCGCCCTATAAAATGTGGTTTTAGAAGTTTAAAAAGGCAGCTTATTTTTGTAAAAGCTGTACCGAGTATTGTTAATCCTGTAAACAAGCTTTAAAAATATTATTCTCTCGCTTACAAAGTTCAACAGACCTTTTTCGTTCTGGCAAAACAAAACAAAAAAAAGAATAATAAGTGAACAACATGATACATCCTTCCTGCATACTAAGTATTATAGTTTCTGAAACGTATTTTATTTAGTAAAGATGCGTAACTTGAGTAGAAACAGTAGCATTAGGGAATAAAATTGGAAGAAGCTAGTTGACACAATAATTAGATACTGTTGTATTGAGTGGAGTAACATGATACAAGTAGAAATATATTTCGGCAGTTTGATAATTTTCTTGGAAGTTAATAAATGTTAGGCTATCAACCTTGACGTTGCATGAAACATAAATTAATTGCAGATGTTGTAATAAAGCCGAGGTGACTTCTTAAAATCGCTTGAGAAAATTTTGTAGTAAAACAATTTGCCTTTTTTTTACGTACGAATTGTAAAAGGGCCAAAGACCAACATCTTCACATGCAAATTGTGTGCATGAGTTATTTTTATAATTCTGTTTACTAGATTACTGTGTGATAACTCGAATTCCCTCACTTACGAACCACGAAAGGGAGCAAAGTCCAACACTTTCACGTGCCAGCTGTGTGACTGTACATCTCATGCAGATTAACTTTTCACAATAATAATAGTAACTTGGACGTATGAAGACCTGTTTCGTTTAGTAACCAATGCCCTTAAAAAGGCTCTTGTCATTTACGAAGCAATAGCTTTTAAAACATAAAGAAATAAGTTCTCGGAGTTAAAGACTGTCTCACAAATGTTAATAAATATTAGGTATCAACCTTGACGTTGCATGAAACATAATTTAATTGCAGATGTTGTAATGAAGCCGAGGTGATTTCTTAAAATCGCTGGAGAAAATTTTGTAGTAAACAATTTGCCTTTTTTTTTACGTACGAATTGTAAAAGGGTCAAAGACCAACATCTTCACGTGCAAATTGTGTGCAAGAGTTATTTTTATAATTCTGTTTACTAGTTTACTGTGTGATAACTCGAATTCCCTCACTTACGAACCACGAAAGGGAGCAAAGTCCAACACTTTCACGTGCCAACTGTGTGACTGTACATCTCATGCAGATTGGCCTTTCACAATGATAAATAGTAACTTGGACGTATGAAGACCTGTTTCCTTTTGTAACCAATGCCTTAAAAAGGCTCTTGTCTTTTAAGAAGCAATAGCTTTTAAAACATGAAGAAATAAGTTGTCGGAGTTAAAGACTGTTTCACTGAGTAGAATCGCACGTGACAACCTCGTGAATTATGATAATGCAACCATCTACCACAATGATAAAAATCCTGGTATTTCGTAACTATTCAGTATTCGATGAGTCACATTTTGGCTTAAGAAACTCCCGAGGAAACCTTGGAGTTTTCCTTCTAATCAACGTTTGGTGGGTAGAAATTTATTTTACTTTAACAATTTGTTTAACTTGCACCAGATGTAACAGGGAAAGACAGAGGAAAGTGAATATATAGGTTGAGGATCGACTCAGCTGAGTGTTTCGCGTTTTCATTTATATAGCGCAATACCCAATTTCGCACAAAAACCAAATCATCACTCTTGGTAAGGTTACACCGAAGTATTATAGTTACACTAAAGCATTCAAAATAGCTCATGCACGTTTAACGTGCCTATGTTTAAGCTTCTTTGCACGCGTCAATTTTCCTTTCGATGTTCCTTTGCGAGAATGAACAAATGGCGAAAGGGTACCATTGCCTAGCAAAACAACAACTCTGCACATGAATCACGTTTTGCTCGTAATCCTAAATCCGCTTTTCTTTCTCTTTTTCTAAACGTAGATACAGTCCTTTAGAATTCATCTCGTCATCGTCGTTGTAGCACTACGACAGCGACGGCAGCGGAAAGGTCACCACACTGTAATTTTCAGGGAGTTATAATAACTCCTCCAGTGGGGCTAATTTAACTCCTTACAGTGGAGTTATTTTTCGTGAAGTTACTTTAACTCCAAAAAGGAGTTTAAAGAACTCTTTTTCAGGAGTAAAAGTGACCCCAGATATTGAGGAGTTAAAATAACCCCCAAAAAGGAGTTATCCTGTACCTAAAATTTTTACTCCATTTTCAGAGTTAAATTAACTCCAAAAAGAGTAAAAACAACCCATGTAAGGAGTACAAGTAACCCCATTTCGGAGTAATTTTAACTCCAGACTGGGAGTAAAAAGAACTCTTTTTCAGGAGTAAAAATGACCCCAAATTCGGAGTTAAATTAGGAGTTAAAATAACCTCAAAAAAAGGGTTATCCTGTACCTAAAATTTTTACTCCATTTTTGGAGTTATAATAACTCCCTAAAAATTACGGTGCAGTAAATCAAATTCGAGTTTGTTTGTTTTTTTTTTTTAACTTCCTTTTGATTATTCCAACTCGCTCAATATTTCAAAAACAGGTGAATTTTTGTGGAGTTGAACTCTTAGGGAACTGCAGCCAGGTTCAGAACGAGAAATAAGGAAGAAAAATCCTCGTCCTGTGTTTACCTCCTCCGTAAAACGTTGTCTCAGAGAATTTCACGTGGTAGTCGCACAGTGACGGCGACGAGACGGAGAAATCTACTAAAAAGTGTGGTGCACGTTCAGAGTTGTTTTGTTCATGTACCAAAAAGTGTGATTCACGTGAAGAGTTGCATTTTTGCCAATTAAACCTACTGATTTTTGGACGTTCCGGTTCTTTTTAAGCAAAGCTCTTTATTGAGCCCTAAGGACAGGTACTTTACTGGCTAGAAAGAGGGTAGCTATTCGCAAAATTTTTTATGAATTGGGAATCTAATGGTGATGTGTGTCCGATTTCCAAGGCATTGAATGCGGTTTTGACAAGCATAAATGTCAATATATTTATAGTAATTTATCAGCTCTTTCTAAGGTGATAGCCGAACGAAAATCAAAAGAATTACGGGCGGAGACTGTGTGAAACTTGAAAAACTCAGGCCTTGTCCAAACGTTGAACTTTTCCCGAGACGAACCAAGTGAGTTAAGTTCATGAAAAGTTCGACGTCTGGCTCAGTTAAGTTTGTCTGAATGAGTTTGGATCGTCCAACACGTTCTATCCGTCTGCTTCAGACGGATAGAACGTGTGAAGATCGTCTCCGAGACAAACGTCAATCTTCACATGCGATGAACTAAACTAATACATAAAAAAAGAGAAACTTTATTATGGATCTGATTCATTTGATTGGTTCGACGCGTCCTAAGTTCGACGTCTGTCCCAACGGACGACTTTAACATAATTTAAGCTAATTTGTCAAATTTAACTTCCCCTTAACGGTGAATTTTTGTAGTTGCCTTCTCGCTTCCTTAATTTCTTCGCGTCAGGACGTGACAAAAAGAAAGAAAATAAAGAAAATACGACAACCTGCTTTTTACTGTCGTTGGATCTAGCGTACGTTTTTTCACGTCGCTTCTAATGTCTCTTCAATGAGAAACTTTTAGAAAAGCTGAGGTATTTCCTTATGTAAAGATAGCTGTATTATACAGTCTTAAATTGTGTGCACTGCCCTTTCAGAGCCCTTTTTGCGAGTAGTGGCATTGTAGGTATGTCGGTAAATGTTGCTAATCAATGTAATTATTCGAGAATTAATTACAGAGACGTGTACTAAATTTGACTTCTGTTTCTCTTCGCGTAATTCTGTGTTTCTTCGCGGAGCCCTAAACGAGACCTTGGCGGCTTGAAATATTGGCGCTTTGCCCGGATCGGAACACTCTAAGCGAGACCAAAATCCAAAATTTACACCCCTAAGCGAGACGGCGAGCATCCCCGTCTGTTTCATATGGGAGTTCCCCCCGGGTAAAGTCCACAGTAAGAAATACCCCTCCTCGTCGGCTCATCGCTTATTTCTCCTTGGTGGGTGACTATAGTAGATGAGGGAAATTTAAAAAATTACTTAGAAAGACAGAAAGTCAGAAACTTGTGATCTTGCCTGAGAAAACAGCCGACATTTCGCGACGCCAGCACTGGTTTTCTCAGGCTAGTGGGAAGCGGGGGGGCCGGGGGGGCCGGGGGGGCCGGGGGGACACAGGCTACCTACGATCAAACATTTCTCCGTTTCATTATCTTTCTTGTAAAGTAAAGGCGAGGAAAAACCGCTTTCGATCCTTCCTGCGGGTTATTCGGAGGACATCTCAGGCTTGATGGAAGTATCGTGAGAATTTCCCTCTTTGGCATGTATAACACGATCATCCACCATTCCACCCCCAATTTCACAATGGGTGCTGTCCCACAAGTCATTTCGGCTCTCTTGCAAACGCTTCCGGCTGAATTTTGTCGCGTCGAGGAAGTATACCACTTTCTTTGTTCGTCGAAGTTGGTTCTGATCCACTTTATTGAAGATCTCCTGCATTGTAAGGTAAGATCTTTCTTTTAGATAGCTTAGCTGTGTAAGGTAAATTTACAATCTTGCCTAACAACACAAAATTACTAGCACGCAACAGACGCAATGATGTATGCCATCAGTGATTCAGGCACGTAGAAGTTCTTTCCTCGTTGATTTGACTCGTGCATGCATCTACAGAAATAAACCACTAAGAAAAACATGTGTATACTCGGCAAGATTATTCAGAAGGAGAGTAGTAGTCTCCCTCAGTCTATCAAAGCGAAAAATTTGGATAATACATTGTTCGAGGTTGCTAATTACATAAGCTTAATTTGTGCTGAACGTCTGGGCCATTTGATTGTACTACAGTTAAAGCATTCCACCTTCCAGCCAAGAGGGAATGCCCAAAACACTCTTGGACTGTAACCTTTATTTTCTTACTTTTATCATGGTACTTAAACAACTGTGGCAATTACAACCATTTTGGGATTAATTAGTGAGTCATTCATGGCTTCCCGCTTGGGGTAATCCTAGGAATCCCTGTTGTATAATTTAAAGCCCGCTTTACATGACAAACTCTTCAATACGGCACCCCTGTACATAGCCTGAGTAAACAGTCAACATTTCATGGCAACACCAGTGGTTTACTCACTAAGTGAGGGGGGCGTAAGGGGGGTCCGAAAACCGCAAAACCGCAGAGAAATATGCCAAAAAACCGCAAACCGCATCAGATATTTTCCCAAATACCGAAACCGCGCGTACATGTTGGCCACAATATGAAAGCTGACGTCAGCAAGACTTGTGATATATTCTGATAACATTGTGCGTTAGTATTAAACATACCATCATAAGGCTAACGATATATTGTACTACTCTATTATACTCTGTTTACTACTAACCAAATGCCGAGTATGCTGGTCATGTACTTGAACGAGTATTGATATCTCCCTTGACTTTGAAAAACTCTGTCACTGATCCTGTGCGTCTTACATTGGGTGACTGATTACTTTGGACGACCCTGTGCTAGTTGTGGAACGCGGAATAAATGTTTCTTCTTGAATTGTGACCTTCTTGTCTCGTAAAGAGTTCATGTTCAGTGGAGAAGAGGATTGTTAAAGCGTACAGCTCCTCTGAAATTCTCCCCTTCCCTTCCTTCTTCACACAAGATTGCCACGCAACCAATTTCATTTTTAGCAGGACGGATAGTGATATCCAAATCTCGAAGAATGGATTGCAGCTTAACCCATTCGCTCCTGGAGATTTTGCCCAAGAACGCGTTTTGAAGCTAGTCGAGTGGTTTTCTGGTCACTGTCGTGCTATAAAGAGCTAAAACGTACCACAAACCGGTTTACAGGTCGTACACTGTCTGGCGGCCTTCTGATCCAGAGGCAAAATATCAGCTTGCGAAGTTCGGGCATGCGCAGAAAGCAAAATTTCGTGATAGTTTTGGGGTTTAAAAGGGACACAGCAGTCTTGACTTTGACTTTTCGCTTTCTCTCCTCCCTTCTTTTTTCGCTTTTCTTGCCTCATTTTTTTTTTTCTCTTGCTGGGCATTTAGTAGGCTTCATTTTGGTGGGAAGAGTTTTTAGGAAAGCTTTTAGGATCTTAGGATTAGGTGAAAGGAAAGGTAGGTGGGTAATGGAACAAGATTTTCATGGAGATTTTCAGGTCCTCGTCACGTGGATTTTTGCTTCTTTCTCTGGTGTCCTTGACTGAATTGTGCTCATTCTGGTATGGTTTGAAAGATCTCTTCACTCTGCACAAGTTAGCGAAGAAAGTTGTCCTTGACCGTTAAAACTGATGACGTCACAAAGGGTAGAAAGGACCTGGATCCGCACGGGCGGTTACGGGCGGTTCAGGGGCGAATGGGTTAATCAAAAAACCTAAAAATGGCCTTTTACCAACTTTTTCACCTGATTTTACATGAAATAGACAGATTTGGTTGTTTTATGCTGAAAAGTGGATTTTTTTCAAAAAGCTTGGTACTCTGCTTAACCCATTCGCTCCTGGAGATTTTGCCCAAGAACGCGTTTTGAAGCTAGTCGAGTGGTTTTCTTGTCACTGTCGTGCTATAAAGAGCTAAAACGTACCACAAACCGGTTTACAGGTCGTACACTGTCTGGCGGCCTTCTGATCCAGAGGCAAAATATCAGCTTGCGAAGTTCGGGCATGCGCAGAAAGCAAAATTTCGTGATAGTTTTGGGGTTTAAAAGGGACACAGCAGTCTTGACTTTGACTTTTCGCTTTCTCTCCTCCCTTCTTTTTTCGCTTTTCTTGCCTCATTTTTTTTTTTCTCTTGCTGGGCATTTAGTAGGCTTCATTTTGGTGGGAAGAGTTTTTAGGAAAGCTTTTAGGATCTTAGGATTAGGTGAAAGGAAAGGTAGGTGGGTAATGGAACAAGATTTTCATGGAGATTTTCAGGTCCTCGTCACGTGGATTTTTGCTTCTTTCTCCGGTGTCCTTAACTGAATTGTGCTCATTCTGGTATGGATTGAAAGATCTCTTCACTCTGCAAAAGTTAGCGAAGAAAGTTGTCCTTGACCGTTAAAACTGATGACGTCACAAAGGGTAGAAAGGACCTGGATCCGCACAGGCGGTTACGGGCGGTTCAGGGGCGAATGGGTTAAACGTAACTAAAACTACATCGACTATGGAGAACTGCGATGTGACTCAGTCATGACTGCTCGTGAATTTTAACTACCGCTTGTTTTTCTGGAGATAATGTGAGTCTTTGGACTGGAGTGCATAGTTCCTCCCTTGGTGATAACTTTTGAAAAAGGTTACATTTGTAACAGCCTTGCGACTGTTCTGTTATTCCCACTTTGTGATCAAGCAAGACCATGGTTTCGGTTCTCCACGTGAACCTCATCAGTTGCCGGGTTGGCTTTCTTCTTAGTTGCTGCTACAAGAGCAACTCTAGTTATTTGTTCTGTGCTGTTATTTGTTCTGCTCTAGTTATTTGTTCTGCAAATTGTGATTATGTCAAGCATTGATAGCGGCTGGCGCGTTGTTGACAGATGTTGACAGATTTCCATAGAAGAGCCAATCAGAGTTTTGCATTGTGAGAGCGACGCATTAGTTCCAAAGCTTGGGCTTTGTCTGTAGTCCCTCATTTTTCTCTCTCCCCGCCGCGTGTCGCCTTTTCTCGCATGGGTGATTTTCACGCGTGCCCGTGTTTCGCTCGCTCTACTATCCCTGAGGAAAATGGGGACTACTCGTAGTCTACAGTACCAAGAGAAACTCAAGCATCAGTGACAGCTATTTATATGATACCTAAGCGGCTTCCATCTCAGAACTCAAGGGTGCAAAATGCAAACTTGTGCCACAAATTTCAATTCAGTCATTTTAATTTAAGGTGCACGGTGAACTTCCATTTTGCTCGATGAAGCAGTCTTGAGAGCAAAAAAATTGAATGAGAGATGGGTAAAGGTACACGGAATATGGGAGTTTTGAAAAAGGCAAACACAAATGAATAACACATAATGTGCGCGGAGGTGCGAAAATCTATTGAGTTCAGCTTACCTCAAGCTTAAGTGTTCTACATCTCTTGGAGAGAGAAATTATTCATCCCTGTAAAAGCGTCAAATCTTTCGCTTTCTCCTTTTAAGCCCAGCTGTTCTCAAATTCCTAGCGCCACACAGTTATTCCTAACTTTGAAACTTTGTAACTTTATTTGATTTACCACAAAATACAAATAACGATCTCCTCTTGATCTGGCCCGACAACGAAAACAACTACACCGGGCCCAAATTTCCACATGGTGACTCGGGATGTCGAGGACGGCAGCAAACCATGTTGAAGAGCATTTTGACAATCACTCCGATGATAAAATGCAGTAAATTTGAAATGAATATGCAATAAAGGAAAAATGCAGATTTTTAACGAAGAAATTGACGAGATATCTTCGGGTAAAAGACAAATTTCTTAACATCTCAAGTGTCAAATCTAAGATGAGGTCACAACATGGTCGCGCGTTTGTTGCACGTTTTCCGCTCTAACTTTTGATTGGCGCATAGAACAATGCTGAAACTTGGCCGTGAGGTATAGGACAGGGGAATGGGGAAAATAAAGCTAAAAAAAGTATTTTTTGTCGCGTTTCTCACTGTTTTTTCTTCGGTGATTTTCGAATTTCGGCCAATCAGAACAATTGATTTAATTGAAATTAATGATTAAAAGTTTGCACCTTTTAATTACTTTTGCCGTTTACGTGCCTACCTCTTACACGGACAATTACTTAATAGGAGCTACCACACTGATAGAGAGCCAGTCGGTTGTACAGGTACATGTATAAATATTTTCACCCAACATTGCAGTGATCATCAGTTTTTATCTTGGAACTATGGAGTTTGTTGCTTCCCTTGGTAATTTTGCTTGACTTTCCAGTGACTGTCTCTGTTTTAGCCTTTTGCTCTGGAATTTAATTAGTACATTCCACAATCAATCTAAAAACAGAAGACAAAATAGCTCCTATTAAAAGTGCAACACAAGCTGATATATTTTTCCCTTCTACCTGTTGTTCTACAATTTTCTTCTCATCAGTGACTGTGAAATAAATTATACAATGCTCTTCTATTCCAATTTCTGGACTGTTTCTCACTTGTTTTCTTTGAGAAAGACTCTCCTTTACATCCCAGACTCAACAAATTTGCTGGTTGAATTGACTGCAAAGCAACTCACAAAGCAAAGGGAGCTGCAAGCCCCATTAAAGGCTGGAAACTTGGCATGAAACTAATGCACCGCTGTGGCTTTTGATTGGATGTATAATTTTTCTTACACATGAAAATACAATCATTCGCAATTATTCTGATTAGACATATCATTTTTCCATGTGTGTAAAACGTTGTTAGCTCAGGAGACCAGTATAAAGATTGTAAAGGCTTCTATGTCCATTAGTGATGGTTTTGATTACAAAGGGGAGACTAAGTCATCTGACACTGAGCTATTATTTCATTGTTTCTGTGCTTACTCATTCAACAGTAGTCACGCTCAACTAATGTAACATATGACATAACATTGCATAACGTGACATTATTTTCCTCTGTGCATGTTAAGTGTCTTAAACCAACTACTGCAGTTTTAAGTGCAAACAGTACCATCCCTCTCAACAGAGTGGCACCATAATCCTGTTCCCCCTTCCAGCCCACAAGATTTCGGTACTTTTTTATGCATTTTCACATATTTCTGCAAAAACCTTAGATACAACTTCAAATATTGCCCCACTTAATTAAGGACACCTATGTCACTAATATAAGCAGTCCAGGCTTCCCTGTGAGGTGTCTTTGGTCCTAATGTCACTATTGGATTATTTTTTACTCATAAATATCAGATGGTGAGTGAACTACATTGTCTTTGAACAGTTTAGAAATCATAGTGCAAATCTCCTTTTAAGCTGGGCGTAATTGTAACGCTTAACTAATGTTTCTGTCTATCTTCATTGTCTTTTTTAATAGTCTTATATAGCTTTACTGTTTTGTTTGTTTGTTTTTTTTTACATATCTTTTAAACCACTGTAATTGGCTTTTAATACTGCTGTTGTGGTATTCTTGCCTAATTAAGCAGTTATTCTTCTTTGTTTTCAGTGCATATTAATTTATCCTTTATTTTTATTATTATCCTTTATTTTTTTTCTCTCTGTGGTTTTTATCACACTATGGGCAAAGCTAATAAAATAAACTATAATATAATAATGTCTTTGGTTAAATTTAGGCTTCTTGTCATGTCACTGACCTATCAAAATTCCTTCTCTACTGCCTCAAGTATTGGGAGTTACCTTTTTTGCTTAAAAATGTCTCAAAGTCATAATTTCACTTATCAGTGGTGACATACCTTATCACCAAAGTTGTCCAAACTGTTGGAAAAAAAGGGTTGACTTGGTAATGGCCTTAAGAACCATGTTAGGGGAATGGGGTGGCATTCAGACCCTTTGTTGTCCTGGAGTTAATCCTGCATAATGTGCATAACTTGCAGCTGTAGGTAAATTGAGACTCTTACAGGATACAGCTTTTGTAATGTCACGTACATGCATGGGGTTAGTAATCTAACTTGTGGGAAACTGGGGGAAATCCATCCGAGTTCAGACCAGAGTAATGTCTTTGCTTATTAACTGAGTGTCCAAAACTGTGTTGGCACCAAATGACTGCCTGTAGAGCTACTACATGTGCGCACTTAGTTTAGGTTTTCAAGAAAATAATGTTGAATAGTTAGAAAGTAGCTTGGGCAAATGGGCGACATTTCGCGACACCATCACTGGTTTCATTGCAAAATGATGTCGTGAAATTAGTATGTATAATCAAATGGTGACGAGTGAAATTAGGGAATAATTTCACTCGGGTTTTGTCTAAATCCTTTTAATTTCCTGAGCCTTTAGGCGAGGGAATTTATTAGGATTATTTTTAGACAAAACGCGTGTATTATTATTGCCTGGTTAATTTTCACGAGTGTACCATTTGATTACCTATTAATATCATGGGTGACGAATTACGTTAGCTATCTTCCTGGATTTTTGACATGTTTATCCTGGATCATATCGATCGAGAACTCCTGCACTCTGTCGAACATTTAGAGCTTAAATTTGGCTTAAGTTCAGAGTTTTTTGACAAAATACCTCTTAGAATCCTTCTTGATGTGCTCTTTCGTGTGTTCAAGTTTTCTAAAGCATCTTTTTGTGCCCTGATATCTTCATTCATGACATTTTAAAACTTCGTCGCCATCTTGACACTGAGATGTACGTTAGGTTGCCATGGCAATTTTGTAATTTCACATGTGAAATTACATATATTAACGCTGAAATTTTGCACCAGAATTAAGGAGTAATTCGTCACCTATGATATTTGTGCAGAAATTCCGTACTGATAACATGTCAATACTCAAATCTGGTAGTGCTTTTTGATTGGTTGAGGCAAACTTTCAGCCAATCAGACCTACTACCCACCAGTATGGAATTTTCATCCTCATTTCCCAGACGTCATTTTTCAGGGAAACCAGTTTTGGCCTCGTGAAATGTTGCCTATTTTCTCAGGCTGTTATAAGAAAGGGTGGAAATGATTACATGAATGTATTTTTAATAGTTTGTATAACCTCCATCCTTCCTTTGTACAGTGGAACCCTGCCTTATGGTTACCTCAGTAACACGGTCACCTCGTTATTATGGCCGCTTTTTTTCACGGGCTATACATTTCCTTATAAAGAAAACCCCATTAACGTGGTCACCCGTTAATATGGCCAATGGCCACATTTTGAAATCCCAAACAATGGAATCTCTTATAATTTCACCCTGTTAATACAGCCACTTGATCAAAATTTAAAAAATTTTAATTTTTTAAATTGCCTGTGACAAGTCAATTTTATTGACCTAGTACTCTGAGCCTGTTCTTGTACTGTTTTTAGACTACAGTACACATAAAGTGCACTTGTTGCGATTTTAGCAGTGTTTTATGTACTGAAGGAAAATTTTAAGTAGTTTTTTCAATCACTGTACGTGATATCTACATTCCGACTGTTTATTAATGACAACAGTTGTTCAAGAAATGCGAATGCGATGTACGGTGTATTTGTCATTATAGGGCCCTCAAGTCATGAAATTTGAGCCTGCCCCGATAATATGGCCACCCCGTTAATATGGCCAAACTTTTTTGACTCATTGGTGACTGTATTAACGGAGTCCCACTGTACAGTCTTGCTAATATTAGATGCTTAGCCCTGCATAACATACCACTCCTATGGCTTATATGTTAATGCTGAGTATTGCAAAGATTTACTATGAAAATAGAAGTAAAAATAAACTTAAAAATAATTATTGTTTAACAATTTTTTTGTTATGAATTCACAGAAATTCCATCTCAGTGCAAGTGATGCATTCTGGGCTTAATTTTGAATGTAAAAATAATCTGGAGAATCTGAATTGGAATGTACCTGGTTCTTTGTCATTAAGTTAAAGTTTCTTTCCTTTTTTTAACTACACTTTGGTTATGAAAGACCATGCACATAAAGGTGACAAACATTAACATTACCTTCACAACTGCCACATCTATTTAATTGTACATTTGTTATGGTTCCTTATCCTACTATCCTACGCACTATTGGTTTGATTCCTTTCAGAATCTCTCTTTTTATTAATTCCATGCTTTGCTGATGTAACTTCCTTTGTGTAGTTTGTGATGCCTTTGTATGAGCAAGCCAACTTAAAAGTCATTACTTGTGTCCAGAGATTGGAAATAATTCGGTGACTGTTTTTTTCATGGTGATGATAATGATGATGATGATGATGATGATTTAATTTTTCTCATTATTTTTCATTTTATTTGTTTATTTTGGCCTGTAGTACAAACCAGACACAACTTTAACTCTTCTCAGTGTACGTGTGAGGGTAAATACTCTGTCCTGAATCTTTTTTTGGTTGTTGGTTTGTTGTTTTTTTAGTAATGTAGCCTGTAGGTGTATTGTAAAATGTGAAGGTGTTGTAAATAATTGAGAGAAAAAACCTGGATTTTAAGTACTTTATATTGGGCACAGTTATTATTATTCCATCTGACTTATTCCATATGACGTCATATAGACGCTTGCGTTTAGGCGAGGATTAAGGCTAGTGGACACTTTGTGATGTCTATCATGAGGGGCATGAATCTCATTAACTTGCAATCCTGGACAGATAGTCAAAGCACAAAGGGAAGTCACCATTTGAACACTTACTAGTGATAAATTTTTTGTAATCGTTTTCTATGTTTTGTTTTCTTTTAGGTGTTTAGCCATTCTGATCATGCTTGGAAATGGCATCTTTTCCGGAAAGATCCCGCAGAGTGCAAGTCACCATTTTGGCCTCTGAATGGGGATCGAGCAAAGGAGGACTGTCCACCATAAGCAGAGAATTAGCCATTCAGTTCGGCAGATGCCCTCATCAAGTGAAAATCACTTTCTTTCTTCCAAAATGCAGTCAAGAGGATAAAAAATTAGCCCTCCAACACAACGTAAAGATCGTTGAGGCATCGCCCCTACCTGGCTTTGAAGAACTGGACTGGCTTAGCTTTCCACCAGAACATTTACAAATAGATGTAATCGTTGGTCATGGAGTTAAACTCGGCAAACACGCACAAATCATTAAAAAACGTAAGAATTGCAAATGGATCCAAGTCGTGCACACAGACCCAGAAGAACTAGGAATGTTTAAGAACTATTCCAACCCCATATCCAAGGGTGAAGAGAAACATAGAACAGAGGTAGAGTTGTGTGAAATGGCGGACCTCGTTCTAGGAGTTGGACCCAAGTTGAGTGAGGCCTTCCGTTCATATCTTCGAGGCTGCGGAAAAGATAAAAGCGTAGTGGACTGGACTCCTGGAGTATTTGAAGAGTTTTTAAGCGTGAGACAGGTTGGGGAAGAAAGAACACAACGCACTGTCTTGGTGTTGGGTCGTGGAGATGCAGAGGATTTCGAACTAAAGGGATTTGACATCGCTGGCAAAGCCGTTGCAGCATTAGAAGATACTCGCCTTGTGTTTGTCGGCGCCCCAGATGGAAAACGCGAAGAAATAGCGAAGCGGTTAACCCAATGTGGTGTTCCTGCAAGTCGCTTGAGAGTAAGAGGATTTATGGAGGACCGAGAGAGTTTAAAGCGCTTGTTTCCGGAAGTGGATCTTGTAGTCATGCCTTCACGAACGGAGGGCTTTGGGTTGGCAGGACTTGAGGCCCTGTCAGCTGGTCTCCCTGTGCTTGTCAGCTGCAACTCGGGGTTTGGAGAAGCACTGCGCAGTGTACCATTTGGTTCGTCCTTTGTAGTTGACTCAGCGGACCCCACCGATTGGACCGCAGCCATCACTAAAGTCTGGGCCAAGGGCAGAAAAAGTCGACTTGAGGAAGTGAAAACTTTGCGCGATTCGTACGGCAAGAAATTTAACTGGGCCAAACAGATGAGAGATGTTCTTAACAAGATGATCAGCTGGACTCACGGTATGAATGTCAAATTAAGTTTATTTTCATAGTGTTTTAATTCAAGCAGTATGACCATGCCTAGTGATAATGATAACTTAAGTGATGATATTTAACAGTTAATGAATGAGGCTGAGTATCTTATGAAGAATTATGGAGATCGAGGAGGGTGTTATCCGTCGAGGCCGTAGGCCGAGGCGGATAACACCCTCCTCGATCTCCATAATTCTTATATGATACGAAAGCCGAATTCAATAACTGTTTTATTATTCATTCAAAATAATTCCTAGTTTAAAAACATAGCTAAAACATGCTTACCTCCATCGATCCATCGATGTTCAGTTCATCTTCGATAGTGTGCGTTTAGGTTTGTCCAGCTCCGCAAATATTCTCCAAATGGCAGATGTCGCCCTTCGAGTTGTCTTCTTGCTGTTCTCGCCATGTTTTTAGCTATTTTTTCGGCTAGTTCTTACTCTCGAAACGAGTGAAATGTCCGCTATTTTTTCAAGTTCACAACCAAAACAACTCAACCTCGTCCCCAGGTCTTCTCGGTTAACGGTGCCTTAACCTGCGAAAACGCTGCATTTTTGACGTCATTTCCTCGTTAACGTCAAAATTCTTCCAAATTTGGTCATCAGTACCTGCTTATGGTGATTAAAACGCGTGCTTTTAGTCAATCAGAATCGGGGAAATATTTTGAATGAATAATAATCTAACTTAAGTGATGATATTCTAACTTAAGTGATCAAATTGAATCAATACAAAAGAGGGCGCTAAAAATTATTTTTCCTTCTCTATGCTATGAGGACGTGCGTAAGAAATCAGGCTTAATTTTGCTGCGCCAGGGGAGGGAGGATGCGTGCATAACATTTCTCAAGCGAAGTTACTCTTCTTCCAACCTGCTACGAAGCTTAGTGCCGCGAGTTGCGCACACAAGACCGTATGCCCTTTTCTGTGCCTGCCTCCTCAAGAACTAACAGATTTGGAAATTTTTGCACCATCAAATACCAGAATCACGTTTAAAATAGCGAAATGTGATATCTTAACATTAACAGTTATATTTACGTGTCATAATTCCGAAGTATTTGTATGTAACTAATGACCCGCCTTGTAATTCAGTTTATGCTGCAAAAAGGTTGAATAAACGATCATTATTATTATTATTATTATGGCAGCAAATTTTAGTTTTCTTACTCACAGTCCAGAAAACAAGAAACCTGAGCGTTTTTACTCTTTCATACTTTCTTTAAAAGACAACAATCTTGTCCTTTTTTCTGCGGTGGATTTTTCAAATGTCCAGAGCTTCGCCGAAGCGATAGGTGGAACTGTTGTATCTTCTCACCTGGCTTCACAGGGTACACGAGGCACGACAGAAAAACATGCAGGTAACCTCTACATCTAATGCGTGATCGGAATAAACAGCGTCGGCGATTCCTCTTCCGATGATGTTTTTAAGGTGGCTTACTACAGTTTTTTGGATGAAAACTAACGACTTTTTCAAACTGGAACATTTTTACTGAACTGTTTTTTTTTTCACTGTACTGAACTGTTTATTACAAGAATTCATGGTAATTATCATTGTACCTCCTAAAAACATTTTATTGCATAGTATAACGCAAAATATAGTGACCGAGCATCCAAAAGGGGACTGGTAACTAGACCTTTAAAGGGCTTTTTTTTTAAAGAGTAGCCGTATGACCTGTTCAAATTTTTAGGATTGTTAGGGAACATAAAGACGAAAGCGTGAACGTTTTTTTAAACAAATCCAGGGAGTTTTTAGTTATTATAAAATGCGACAAAATTCCACATTTTTGGCTTTTGCCAAAATTCAGTCAATAGGATTTCTTTCTTTCTCTCTAAAAAGAATTATTTCTAAGTACTAAATAAACCCTGAAATTTTCAGATGGGGTCGTACGGCTAGTTTCTAATAGAAGAGTCACCGTTTCAAGCCTATAATAGCTATCCAGCCATAGAGCTAATTCCTAGTCTTTTGATAAGAGGATCTAGAGTAGAAAACTTGGTGGCGTTCACAACGATAGTAACTTAATTTTGCAGTGATTTAAAATGTCTCATGGACATTTACTGCTAATTCATGGTCGGTTACGCGATTACGGTTTCTTACTCTCTGTAAGGAATGCATTAATAACGGTTCTCAACTTGAGGGCGCAGAGCGCAAACTCAAAGAGATGATCCAGGGGTGGAATCATAAAGAGCTTAAAGAATTTACCGCCGAGAAAGGAATTAGATGGCAGTTTATTACGCCTGGAGCACCGCATCAAAATGGTTGCTCAGAAGCGTTCGTTTAAGGCCCCAAGAAAGCCCTAAAGAAAGCAATTGGTGAACAAGTCCTGACCCCATTTGAATTATACACCTGTTTACTGGAAGTGGCTAACCTGATGAATCAACACCCCATTGGTAGAATTCCTAATGACTCGGATGGTGTAACAAGGACCGTTCAGAGAAACCAGGAACCCATGGCATAGAGTCGAATTCGTACAGAAGATAGTGGACACCTTCTGGAGACGTTGGACCCGAGACGTGTTCCCGTCATTGGTCCCCAGAAAGAAGTGGAATGCTGATAAGCGCACTGTGAGAGTGGATGACATAGTCATCATGGAAGCATGGAAACTGGACCATCGGAAGAATCATCAATGTCTGCCCAGGAAAGGATGGCAGAGTTCGAAATGTAAAAATCAAGACGTCAACCTCGGAGTATAAAAGGCCTATCACAAAGATTGTGATCATTTGCCCAGCAGAAGGATACGAGGACTGTTGTAGTTTAGGATGAGGACACTGCCCTCATCGAGGCGGAGAATGTTAACGTAGTTTTGTTTTGGACTATGCAAGGAATTCATAGTTAAGGAATTTGCGGTAGCCTCGTACACGCCCAACAGGAAACTCTACTAGTAGATAAACCTCAACTTTAATTAAGCAGTTTAGTTTTATGCGATATCTGAATTGGACATGTTTCATGTGATTTTCTGCTTACCTGTTACACTGTTTCATGGTTATCCCGATCAAGGAAAGTTAAGAAAACTCCATAGACTAGTAAGTTTATGATCAATGTTATAATATTGTCAATCATTTTGGTTTTGTTAGTTTTAAGAGGATTTCATGAGTTTTTGCATATTGACGACCAGTGACCGCATGGCATAATGATTGTTAAAAGTTTACATCAGTTATTCCCGCTTCGCTCGTTTTAATTGTTTCATTTATTACCACTTGATTGAGTTAATTAGAATACATTGTACATATTAATTTCAGATCGAATAAAAACATTATCATTTATATGATTGCGAGTATTCTTCAGTAGTGGATCGTCTTAGTTCTCTTGTGAAACAACTGGTAGCCCAGATATCAAATAACCTCTAGACAACAAAGATGTGGCCATGAACAATAATATCATTCTTTTTGCTTGGTCCATCACAACATCTAGCACATCATGTTCACTACAGAAATTCCATTACAGTCTAATCTTTTAATATTGTTTCACCTCTACACCAAGATATTTTCTGTCTGTGGTGATTTTCTAGAGGTCTGGGAGACCATAGGAGCTACCTTATAATGAGCTACATGTATATATAATCTTTAGGGTGTGCCAATGTGAAAGATAAAACTTTTCTTATGGCAAATATACAAAAGGTACGGTGAGGTACAAAGGTAAGGTGAGTACTGCATGGTGACACAGCTTTGCCCCAAAAAATCATAAATCCCCCTCCTCTTTACACTAGGTCAGTGGTTCAAATGCTCTAGATGTGACATACCATTAGTGGCAATTATGAAGTGAAAGATTTAAAGTATGACTTAAGTATATGTGTGAAGGGTTTGAACCCAGGAGTCATTTCAAAAGTAGGTTGAGTTTGATCGTCCGGGTGACCGTGGTCCTGAATAGGACTGTTGTTGTTGACAGTGACTGACATTTCGACAACCTGTGCAGTAGTCATCTTGAGAGTCAAAGTGAGTTGTATCACGTCAGTTGATGGTATTATACCCTGGTTATAGATCTGATTGGTCAATTATGTCATGATGTTATTGGTCGTCTGTCAGTTAAGCCGTGATGTTATTGGCTATGAAGACTCGTAATCAGTAATTGGTGCGTTTCGATCCATCTATTGTCACAGTTAAACAGTCGTTTATTGTTAGTCAAATTGTCAGTTCTCCAGTCGTTCTCTCGTAGTTAGTTTTGCTGAACGACTGGAGAACTGACAATTTGACTAACAATAGACGACTGAAAAGATATGGGAAACCACTTCAGAGAAAATATAAATTAAATTAACGATGAAGTTATTTGATGCACTGATATCTCCCATACTATTTTATGCGAGTGACGTATGGGGGATTGATTGCAATGGACAATTAGAAAAGGACCCAGCAGAATAAGTTCAAAATAAGTTCTTGCAGTGGTCGCTGGGATTTAATAAATACTGCAATAATAATGCATGCGCGGCTGAGACAGGAAGGTTTCCAATGATAATTGAAGCCCAATGTAGGAACTTTAAGTTCTGGTTAAATATAAGCTTAACCAAAAATGAAAACAAATTATCCCAAATAGCATACACTGAGTGAATGACGTTAAGGAATGAAAATAAAGCTTTCTGGAGCAAAAAATTCAAAAGCTTATTGGAACAGATAGGGTTAAGGAGAATTCTGGATGAAAGCACAGTATGTGAACATTGGAATCGTAAACATGATCAGGCAATGACTTAAGGATATCAAACTACAAAGATGGCTAAGTGAAATAAATAACGACACTAGAAAAGATGCTAACCAAAGCAACAAAATGAGAACCTACCGGATATTCAAAATGACCAGGTCACCAATACGTGACACAGAATAACTCTAATTATAGTGTGACTAAGCAACATGAATTTAAATGCAATTTAAAGGAGTTAACAACTAAGAGCGCCTGGGTGCCTAGGTCAGCGGTCTTTGGCATGCGCATGCCCGGTGGCTGACTACCTTCATCATGTGATTCCTTGGCGCGTTCAGTTTTCCCTTCGTGCTGGGTTCTGTCGCCCATTTTCTTCGTTTTCCTCGGTGTTTTTCTTCTCTGCGAGCGGTTCGTCACCGTTGTCGTCGATTTCGCGAACTTTTTTTTTGTTTTTTTTCCGTCTGTTTCTTCGAAGGTTTGGTCCACATGCCTCACAACACGGTGAACAGCATGTCGGCTTCGCTTGACCCGTCCGGTCCCGCGTCGTCTCCGAGTGATGAATCCGCCCCGTCAACCACATCAAATTCCAGTTCTTCATCCTCCTTTACCTCGTCGCCCTCTTCGGTCTCAATCTCAGCGGAGATTCTGACTCAGGCCATCTCCCAGGCTTTTCAGCAGTCGCTACCTCAGATGTTGGCGGCCTTTCGGGAGAACGGCGCGCCATATTCTACCAGCGGTACGTCAGGCAATTCCAGCGCGGCCTCTTTCGCGACCAGCGTGCCGTCGACTTATACATCGACTTCGACTGCGTGTCGTTCATCGTCTTTAACAGGTACCGTGACTGTGCCCTCATTTCTCTCTACTCATTCGTCTGTTGGCATTCCCGTGGTTCCTCGTGCTTCTCAGCCGCCCGTCCCGGCGTTGTCTGCACCATCCTTGTTCGATTATTCGTTGGTACCGTCGACCAGCAGCCCGACCGTGGCGCCTTCGGTCGGAAAAGCGTTTGTAGTTGGCCCCGGTTACGCGCCAATTCCGGGCGAACTGGTGGCCAAGATAACCAGTGGCGCCTTCGTTGAGCTTGCGAATCTCCTAGCGGAGAACATACGCGCCCTAGAGGCCGAGCCTCATACTTATTTGGATGGTAAACTACTTGTTGCTCCTGCCAAAAAAAGGGTGGTAGAGATAACCGATATTCTCACATGGATTCAGGCCTTTACCATTTACCAGTGGATCTTCTGCTGTACTTACTCTTCTCGCTGGCAGGATACTACCCAGTATAAGTTATTGATCCTCCAGACGGCTTTTCAGTTTCCTGGGCCAGCTTGGTTGAACTACGACACGGCATTCAGGAGGGATGCTGCAGCCTCTCGTTTAGCAGATTGGTCTAAGATGAACCTGGATCTATACAACTTCCACACTCGTGCGTCCGGCACCGTTACCGGTCAATCAGCACCTCACTCGACTTCCCTACCCCATACATCGGCCTCATCGAACGTCCCACCCAAGCGTTCCTTCGACCCCATTCAGTATTGCCGATCTTGGAACGATGGTGCCTGTCGCTGGTCTCTGGGTCAATGTCGGTACCGTCATGTTTGCGAACGCTGCGATGGTCAACACCCCCTTACCAACTGCCCCTTTCGAGCCTACAAGGGGTTTCAGCGTTCCAGGTCCCTCACTCCATCCGGGGGAAAACGCCGTCGGCGTAACAACAAGGTTGCCTTCCAGGTGACAGCCTCCTCTTGTGTAAATAGTGTTAATAGTTCTTTGACTGTTCCTCGTTCCACGTTTGCGTTCATTGGTGTTGATTCCCAGCAGAAGATTGGACTGCCCCAAATTTTTCGTGTTTTCAATGATTCCTGCCCTTCTGCACCGGTCCCCTCGTTGCATCAGCCGCTGCTTCCTCCCTATAAAGTTTCCCCCATAAGAGTCGACAAATTACGCCAGGAAGTGCTCACACATCCAGATCAGTCTTTTGAAACCTATGTCTTGGATGGTCTTCAGAGTGGGTTTCGTGTTGGTTTCAACCCTGCTTCGGTCTCCTTAAAATCGGCCACACAGAATATGCCCTCTGCTAGTCTTCAGCCCTCGGTTATTGATGACTACCTTAACACGGAGATAGCTAAGGGTCGCGTTGCTGGCCCCTTCTCTTCCCCTCCGTTACCTCACCTTCACATCAGCCGTTTTGGAGTCATCCCCAAAAAACACCAGCCAGGCAAATGGCGCTTGATTCTGGATCTCTCTAGTCCCGATGGTCACAGCGTGAATGACGGCATTAAAAAAGACCCTTTCACGGTTCAATATATGAAAGTAGACGATATTATTGATGGGATCATGTCGCTTGGTCGGGGCACCTTACTTGCAAAGTTTGATGTGGAAAGTGCCTATCGCATTATTCCCATCCACCCTAATGATCGTTATCTTCTCGGCATGCAGTGGCAAGGCAATCACTTTGTGGACATGGCCTTACCTTTTGGTTTGCGTTCAGCGCCTTACATTTTCTCTTCAGTTGCGGACCTGGTGGAATGGGTGCTCAAAAAACAGTATGATGTGAGCTTTCTCCTTCACTATCTGGACGATTTTCACACCCTGGGTCCTCCTAATTCTCATACTTGCCAACGGACCTTAGACACCCGTATCCAGCAATTTCAGGATTGGGGGATTCCCCTTCACCCCGACAAGTTGGAGGTTCCTTCCACTCTCCTGACCGTTCTAGGCATAGAACTCAACTCTCTCCTATTGCAGGCGTGCCTCCCGCAAGAAAAATTTGATCGTATCCACATACTCCTGGTTTCCTGGTCACTTAAACGCCATTGCACACGGAAGGAGCTGGAGTCTTTAATTGGCAATCTCAACATGCATGCCAAGTCGTCCCTTCTGGTCGCACCTTCCTCCGCCGCATGATCAATCTGCTCTCAGCCTTTCGCAGAGATGACCATCCAATAAGGCTTAATAGAGAATTTCACTTGGATTTGTCGTGGTGGCTCGAATTCTTCCAGTCATGGAATGGGTACAGTTTTCTGTTGTCTCCTCGTTGGACTCCCATTCCCGATCTCCATGTCTCCTCTGACGCTGCTGGCTCTGTTGGATACGGGGCTATTTTAGGTAGAGACTGGTTCGTGGGGAGATGGTATCCGTTACAGCTGCCCATATCCATTGCCTACAAAGAACTTTTTCCGATTGTTCTGGCAGCTTCCCTGTAGGGTCATCAGTGGTCTGCAAAGCGGGTGGAATTTTGTTCTGACAATACAGCTGTGGTCGAGGTTTGCGGTCCGGTACCTCACGAGATTCGAACTTGATGGTGCTGCTTCGTCACCTCTCCCTGTTGGCGGCCCGGCACTCCTTTGTGTTTACTGCTCGTCACGTTCCTGGGAAATCAAATGCTATAGCTGACGCCATTTCTCGTTTTGAATTTCAGCGGTTCCATCAGCTAGCTCCTTATGCATCTCCTACAGCAACGTTGGTACCTCCTTGGGTCTTGGGCCAGCTGCCTGTAGTTTAGACCAAAAGTGCCAATTTTATCTTTCCAACGGTCTGGCCCCGTCAACCCGACGAGTGTATCGTTCAGCACAACGTCAGTTCATCGATTTCTGTACATTAGATGGCCATGTCAGTTCAAATGGTTCGTTACTGCCCACTAGTGAACAAACCTTGCGCCGTTTTTGTTCCCACCTAGCGGATCGTTTACATCACTCTTCAATAAAGGTTTATCTCTCGGCGATACGGTCCTTGCACATCGATCAGGGTTTCCCCGATCCCTTCGTGAACTGCCTCCAACTTAAGCGTCTTCTCCGGGGCATTAAGCGCCATCAAGGCTCATCTCTCCCACAACGCCAGCCAGTGACAGCTGACCTCATGCGAATTATCCAGCGTTCCTTGGATGCCCACAACTCAGAGCACATCATGCTGTGGGCTGCCTGTTGCCTAGGTTTCTTTGGATTCCTACGGGCAGGGGAGTTTATGGTCAACTGCGCCTTCGACCCATCCATCCATTTAACCGTTCAGGATTTACAAGTAGATGCTGAGGTTCATCCTTCCAGCCTGCGGGTGCGCATCAAAAAGTTCTAGAACCGACCCATTTCGCCAGGGATGTTTTATATACCTTGGACGTGGTCAGGCCCCTCTTTGTCCAATTTCGGCCATCCTGACATACTTACATCAGCGAGGGCCCTCGTCTGGTCCCCTTTTCATCGACACCCATGGTCAGCCTTTTACTCGTTCTCGTCTGTCTTCCTTCATCCAGTCTGTTACAGGGAGCGGGAATCCCAGGGCATTTTTCAGGCCACAGCTTTCGCATTGGGGCTGCCACCACGGCCGCCCAATGCGGCATTCCAGATCACCTTATCAAGACCATGGGCAGGTGGTCCAGTGATGCATATCAACTCTACGTTAGAACCCCAGTGGAATCAATTTTGGAAGTTTCTGGGAGGCTACTTCAGTAACAGGTACTTTATCAAGAGAGGTAGCGTACACCTACGTATAAGCGCCTTCAGGTTTGGCCGTTAGGGGCTCGGGCGTCTCCTAGCCACAAGCCCCTTCTCCGAGCCTTAGCGCCTTGGCTCGGAGGTCCCTTCGGCTTGGTGTGGGGGGCTCATGGCTGGGTTGCGCTGTTGTGCCAGTCATGGGGGCATTATTTCAGTCTAGGGGCTGGCTGCCAATAGTGGAAGCCCCTGGATACTTCAGGCACCCAACCTCCATTTTAGCGATGCAGTTGTTAACACAAATTTGCCATAGAGACAGCTCGTTCCTTGGCTAGGAATTTTTGTTGTTTGTGGTTTTAGTTACTTGGAAATAGTTTGTATATACTATTTATTGTAAAAGACTCCAAATGAAAAACATGTATGTATGTGTGTATTATGGGGAATGATGGGGACTTCTAAAATGGTGGAAAGTGCGAGAAGTGAGAGACATTATGCTGTTCATTGTCTCATATTTTGCAACAGAAATAGAACTGAAGGGAGGAATCGAAGATAAAAGGGGCGGGAGCCAAGAATGCAAGCTATGGGAGGCGGGAGTTTTGGATCTTCTCTAACCCCCCCCTCCCTCCCCCCCTCCCCCACATGATCCTTTTAGCCACAAAGCTATCATTTCTTGTTAACAAGGGTTTAAATTATGTGAAGTTAAGGCCACCTCCACTTTATTTACCCTCTTAACCAGCAGCCGTATTATATCAAGCGGCAGCTTTGAGTTTAATGTTTGCAAGTAGTACTAGCATGAAAAAAGAGTATAGTTACCAATGGAGGGAAATGCTTTTGTTTTTGTCCACCAGCCTGAAAACCTGCAATGCAAAACATAGACTTTCGTAAAGGACTGCAGTAATCTCCAGCTATTTCCTACTTTTAATGAAAATGGCAATTTTTCATCTTGGTTGTGTCTGTTTTTGACTTTTTTTGTCTGTAAACACAGATGATCTGTCATTTTTAATTTTTTGAAAACAAGTTTTTCCCTCATTTTCTGGTTATTCGCTCCGAACTCCCAATAACTTGAACTCCAGATAACTGCAACTTTTTTTGATTTACTTGAAAGTTTGAGTCATTGAGAGTCATTTGTACTTTATTTGATGAGTGGGTTTAGAAAACGTTAGCCATAGGCTGATGTGGACCTACATTGAGCAGTATGCATACATAACCATAGCACAGAAAGGGCTATAAGGATCTTTGTAAGGGATCTTGAGAGCTAGAAAACCATTATCTAAATTTGTGGTATGTTAAGTTAACTCTTGAACAGGGGCACCCAAGGAGAATATAGTTCAAAACCACTTAAACATAGCATTGTTAAACGTGTTTTAGTATTTAAACGGTGGATATGGGCATATTTTTATCCCCTATAAATTTTTCATCTGTTCGGATTTCCTAGCTGAAAGTCTAGTGATCCGAAAATTATAGGGATCAAAACTTACCTGTTCGAAAATTTCAGCCAGAAAAAAAGCTCCCGAAAATTCTAGGTGACCTTTTTAGGGTAAAAATCCGTTGAAAATGGGCAATTTTACCATTTTTTAGATATTCGAAAATCCTAGGAGAGGCAGGAAACCAAGAAATTTTACAACAATTGTTCCGAAAATTTTAGATCTCAAATCGTCTTCCGAACAGATATTTTTCCGAAAATTGTCCTTGGGTGCCCCTGTCTTGAACTCTTAATGCAGACCTCTGACCACTAGTTGTTTCGTGACTGTCGTGAGTGGAACTCAGTGGCCGTAGTTGTACATTAAGGTTAGCTCCTGCCAGAAGGGGTTTTTAACCATCCCTTGTTTTTTTTGTTTGTTTCATTCTTCAGCAGTGGAACATCCATGGTCACATGATCCCCAAGAACATGACCTTGAATCTTTGCAACAACATCATCCAGAAATGAGAGTTGAAAAATTAACTGTACATCATGATCCATTTACTGCCAGAAGACAGGTTCAGCCCTGGGAACAAGCTGTATCTTTGGAGCCATATCATAATCCAGAATCTGACAGTGCACAGGTGTCCCAGGAACAACCTGGGTCTTTGCACCATGCCATGTCAAGACTATCTACCAGCCCAACAAAGTATCCTATGAGCTTAAAACTAGTGCCTCGTCCTACAGAAACTGTTGAGACCTCAAGGTTTGTACATCTTTCAGTTTTGTGGCTTGTGATTAAAACAGCTGTTTTAGTATTCTGTATGTGGAAAAATGAGAGACTGTTCAAAGGAACAAAGTGGTTACCAGATGCTTTCTTTTAATGTAGGCTGTACACACCTTCTATTACTATATTCTCCCTCCCCCGCCCCCCGCTTTCTTGGTTTGTATTACAGTAGTAACTTATTTTAAGCAGCTAGGACAACACTTATTATTTTTATTAATTCCTTATCCCTGTATGCATTTTTTGTTTCAATGAATGAAAAAAGTTAAGATTGTTGTTGATGTGCCTTTCACATACTATCATCGCAGACAACTAAAGCCTGAACAAAGCATTCAAGGAGAATTGGATGCACCAGATTCTGCAGCAGGGGCCGTGGCTAATGTTCAGGTAGATGAGAAGCTGAAACGACGGCTGCAAGATGAGGGATGTTTCTTAGATCCTGAGAAGTATGATCCAGTGAAGCGTTTAGGACATGGAGGATACGCTAGGGTACATTTAGGCTTTTTTATGGAGTATTTTGTGCATAAATTTTGGCATGCAACAATAGCCTGAGTATGGATCAAAGAATGAATTAAAGCTGATTAGTGACTCTGATTCACTCAAAAGTATCATACTCATCTTTGTGTTCAAAATCCTTTTTGCCAAAAAACAACATGTAGATGAGAGGATCCTATAATAATAAAACATAACCGAAAAATATTGCTGTTAAGTCTTGCAAGTTAAATACCACCCAGAAAGTAACGTGAAAAAATGATGCCTGGAGGCTATAAAATTTATGAGGTGCAGAAGTATTGACGCCCTAACAGTAAAATCATTCCCCCACCCCCTCCTTATCCAACAAAAACTACAACAACGACAACCACAAGCAAAGAGAGACTTTTGTCATTGCCTTTTTATTAATTTAGTAATTGATCAGAAGTGAAAAGAAGGAATTGCAAGTGTCAAAGCTCACAAAAACAAACAAGCTCACAACAACAAATGCATGCAACAATATGACGGCAATGCCGAGATTTGAACAAAAGAAAATTGGAAATAAATCTCAGTGCATTTTGTCTCTGCTCAGGAGTTTTTTGGTTGTATTTGTACCATGTCACATGCATGCCGGAATGTAATGACTTTATCTAAATGCTGGACACAATTTCAATTTTCTGTCTAAAGTGAAGAGTTCACTGGACGGAAGTGACAATTCCCTATTCATGATATCATCATAATTCCCATCCGTCCTTAGTGGCACATAGAGCGAAAAAAAAATCCCTCCATCTTTGACTGTGTGCCAGACAAAATCATACTGTTTGACTAGTTATCTTTACAGTTAAATGGTAAATTTGCCTAATGCTCTTTTTTCATTTGACAGGTTTTTCTTGTAATTGAAAAGGACACAGGACAGAGGATGGCTTGTAAAATGTTTGATTTGTCGTCAATTATGAATGACACTAAAAAGACTAAAAAGGTATGACATTAAAACAAATCATGTCACTTCACTTCATAAGTATAATAACACTAGTACTCTTGCCTCTGACGGTTAACTGAGATTCATGTCAGTTGCTTTTTAGATAGATAAGGGGGGTTCTGGTGCAAATGTACATAATTACGGAAAGCACTAGATAACATCCCGATAACATCGACCTAAACCAGATGAGTCATCGATATGTCAGCGGCGTCTTACAAAATGACTGAAATGATCCCGTCGACTTCTGCTCACTTGATCGATCGCAGCGAAGATCAGGAAGATGTTATATTTGAGTAATAGTTTGAGTTATAAAACGGTCAATGTTACATCTGTAATAGACTCAGCTGTATTGTATTGAACGACGCGGCTTGTGGTCTTCCCAAGGAACGCTGGTTTCGGTCGATGTTATTTAGTGTCAACACGTCACGAAATCCTATCTAACATCATCCTCGGAGACCCAGGGGCAGATAGTGGGGGCGAGGGAATATCTAAACGGGCGGAAAAATAAGGCACGAAGAAAAGTAAAGAACGGCGAGAAGAGCTAGCTAGTTTTATATCCGCAAGTTTGAAGTCAATTGTGACCATAGAAATCTGTCTTAAGGTTTCCAAGTTGCCAAAATCATAGAAATCGGTTAAATCTTTCCTACCGAAAAACGCGATTCAAAAACATAACCAACGCGCAAATAAATAGGTTCGGGCCACCTTAATTTTTAGCACCTAAACATGCATGAAAATAAAAAAGTCACGGCCAGAACCCACCAAAGGACGTAACACAATCATCATTCCTTGAAGGTTCGTGTTTCGTGTTATTTTATTTTATTTATTTACCTATATTTATACCGTGATTTTTCCCTTCAGCAGGGCTGATATCAACGGGGATCCTGATAAATTAAAAATTAGATACATGAGAATATAACCAAACATGAAATGGCAGATACTTGAAAATGTACTATACAGCAAAATTACAGAATAACAGTCCTCAGCATCTTCTTGAATCTTGGCAAAAATTTGCTCTGCTTTGCTGAGTCTGGGAGCTCGTTATCGGTCCTTTTAAGGTGGCTCGACTGGATTTTTTGAGGGGGATACCTCCCAAGTTTGAGCATTAACTACGTCGGCATTTCAAAATATTTCGAAAACGCTCTCATAGAATTTCTTCAAACTTTGCCATAATGGAGGCAATTATGGCAGGTACATACTCCCTTAAGCGATTTCTTCAAAAAACTCCTGGTACGGAGAAACACAACGATAAATGAAAAACGCAATGGCGTTATTACGTTGCCATGGCGACTCCGATTGCAATAAAACTCAGATCATAAGAAATTTTGATCTTTATATAATACAGTTGTGGTAACCTTTTTTCCATATCTTTACTCATGCCGACGTAGTTAATGCTCAAACTTGGGAGGTATCAACTCCAAAAAATCCAGTCGAGCCACCTTAATGCACTGCTACTTATATACGCTGTTCACAGCAAAACTATTTTTTATTTTCTTAGCTGGTAAAGTCATTGAAAACTGAAGTCAACGTCCTCTCTTCTCTCAAACACGAGCACATCGTGAAGTTTTTTAGAATGGAGGAAGAGCAAGAGACTGCGATTCTCCTTCTGGAGTATATGGAAGGAGTAAGAAATATTTTATTGTTCATAAATTTACGAGACACAAGTAGTATGTTGGCCGACAAAGATTAGCAACGCTTGGTGACGTCACGTCATCATGTCTGCTGCCTGTTCTGGTAAACGTCTCGTTTCAGTGCAACACAACAGATCTGTAACGTAATCCTGAAGTTTAGGGCAGCCCAGTAAACGCCTCTGTCTTGTTAAGAACATGGAGCACTAGCAATCTCACCTGCGAGCATCTAGGAACTCATCAGATGCCCAAGCCACTGAGTCGCATTGCGACTCGCAGTGATGAGTGGGGTTTCTACTTGTGAAGGTTTGAGGTGGGTGCGTGTCGCCTAGGCCCGCCTCTTTAAGAAGGATTTTCCATTTCATTTCGATACTGCTGTTGTGAAACTTTCGTATTTTGGAAATATTACCAAGGCTCAAAATAACGGACAGCAGGTCGCCGGTCATGATGACCGGCCAAATATTTTTTAGCCCGGACAAACCCCGATTTTGGCCGGTCAAATTAATGAATATTATAATTACTTTGTTGCCCATGGAATATCGAATTACGCTGGCAGTACGGCATTGTCGTTCGAGTTTTTGCCGCCAAGTTGGTGAAAAATTCATTCACACGTTGTTGAGTTCCTTTCCGCGATTTTCGCCCGTTTTATGTCCGTTTATATATACCTTCAGCATCATCGTACTGCGGTGTCGGAAGTCTCCAAGGTTCGTCCTATATCTGCATATCGGTGAAACTTGATCCTTTTCGTTGCCCGGCACGTGATCGAAAGTCTCCTCCACAAAGAAGAATTTCGTCGCTAAATATTTGCGGCAAAGAAGTTGATTTGGCAAGAAATTTGTTCCGCAAACAGGGTATTCGTCATCAGAAGTCAATAAATATACAGGAGAGCTTTCGTTTGGGTCGTCGCGCAACACTTTATCGCGAACGGCTTATCAAGAACGAGGATTTTAAGCGCCGATATAGCAGCGATAGGCGACGATGGTTCTCGATTAGCTTAGTTTTTATCAGACAATTATGGAATCGAGTTTGCAAATGAGATTATGTTCGACGTAAAGAAATTTTATAATTAATCGATGCGCTGAAATTTATTCCCAGAGAAACAGTACAGGACGAGCGATCGATTAGCCCGAATCCCGTCGAAGGTGATTTTCACAATCCTGTTACAAGTAGATGTGAAACGTTTGATGGACAAAAACTGTCACTCATCCTTTAGTTTTCTAAAAAATAACAGATTATTGTTAGCGAATGTTTTCCCAAAGAAGGTCGCATTACTGATCACAGCAAAGCAGAACGTTTTTTTTAAAGGATTTAGTGCAAAGCAGCAAAAAAAGCAAAAGAAAGCAGCGAATTACAGCGTTATAGAGCAAAACGCATTAAGCGACAAGCATCCAAAAATGACCGGTCAAAATGACCGGCCAGACGAGAGTTTGACCGGTCAAGCCCACGATCAGGCCGGACATTGTCCGTTGACCGGCCGTTATTTTGAGCCCTGATTACACCTTGTTATAGATAGAGTACCAAAATAACAACCCGTTTGGCAGAACCATGGTATTTTTGAGGAGCACCGCTTGGCACTTGTCCAGGCATCTAAGCATTTTCTGGAAGGAAGTTGTGTTTGGATTTTGTCGCAGGACGTTTCGGGCTATTTCCTTTCTTTTATACCAGCTGAATGCTACAGCTCCTGTTTTAGGGTCAAACGTAAAACCTACCATCTTTGCTGTTTTAAACGTGCTTTATTTTCTAGGGAACTCTGATGGACTGGCTAAAGCAAGGGAAACCTTTGCACGAACCTTTGGTGAAAAAGTTCACTAGACAACTTTTAAGTGCCGTCAACTTTCTTCATACAAATGGAACTAGGCATGTCATACACAAAGATATAAAAGGTTAGTTTTAAAACGCCATCGCTTGTTCTGTGCTAGTGGGGAGAGTGGAGATCAGGCTTATTAATATTGTGCCTTTTTTTGAACATTTATTTTGAAGTTCCGAAAGTAACGACCCTGACACTTTCGGAGTTAGCAGAATTAAGGGATCGCTACGTTCAAAGGTTTGTTTTTTAAAAAATATATTTTAGGGGGTCAAGAACTGCTAACTTTTGAAACAATCATCTCTCTTGAAACAAAATTGTTTACTGACACCTATAATTCAAAAAGGTATTTTTTTTTCTAGTAAAACGTATTTAAATTACTGCTGTCCTTGCTGTGATTATCGTTTAGTTTTCTAGTTGCATTTCTCGCCCTTATTAATGACTTAAAGTTAATTTTAACGTCAAAGCTGAAGAGTAATTGTTTTCACTTAAGCCCCGTGCAAACGGACGCAATATTGTTGGATGTTACATGTTGCGTCTGTTTACACACCTTGTTGCATGTTTTTGCGTGTTGTTAAGAAATGTTGCGCAACGTTTGAAACCGGTCCAACTTTTAGCTACGTGTTAACGGACACAACAACTCCTAACTTTGTTGGCCTAACAATGTTGGGAGTTGTTATGTCCGTTTACACGTAGCTTTAGTTTACATTAAGCTGCTGTTTTCTATCGTTCAGTCTCTCATCACGCCGTCGTGGTTGCCAAAACTAACCAGTTTTATTGGTCTCTCAAGCATTTAAACCTTTGAACCTTGAATTAGTGTTCATTTCTTTGATATTTCAGGTGCGAATATTTTGCTGGATAAGCCTCGGACAAACATAAAACTGGCAGACTTCGGAATTTGTACGATTATGGAGGTGAGCTCTCGGTTTTACCTTTAGGTGCTCCTTTGGTTGAAAAATGTACGATTTTTGCGTGTAAGCAACTGCTTCTAAGATTGGGTTTGAAGTGATGTTGTTATCTAAATAGTACTGACTCTGAATCATTCTGCATAGAATGCGATCTTGGCAGTGTTTTGGCAGTAACCGTTGCAAGGATTTTCACAAAAATTTGATTTGAGTATGTTTTATGGGCCTACTTTGAATGTTTTTGAAGTCGTTGGTCTCGTCATAAGAAGGTATTTTCTGGCTCGCCTCAAGCGGCTTTCGTCGCAAACCAAAACTCAAGTGATTTTCTCTTATCAGCGGTAACGGATAATCAAAACAAGTGCATGAAGCCAGCGTTAGTTTGGAAGGGAGTGTGCAAGCCAAAGTCGCTTTCGTTTTTAGCCTGCGAGCAAGCTCCTCTATTTGGGCGAGCGAAGCGAGCCGCGCGAGAACGCGTGAGCGTGTCTACTTTTCACAATATCCCCGAGATGGAGAATTTGCTCGCACGCTATCGTTTTTGGATGTTATTTCGATTGATATATCGACGAGGTGGCGATTCATGAAGTGCAGCGATACAAAGTCAAAGCAAACGCAAAATTTCTTTTAACGTTTGCTTGAAAACTGTTCATGTATGCATGACAGGTTAATTTCTCAGGTATCATGTTTTTTTTTTAAATTTTTTCAGCAACTGAGAACTGCGACTGGCCAATTGACGTCAAATAATGAAGCGTCCTTCCACTGGACAAGCCCGGAGCTTCTTGGTGAAGAGACGTTTGGACGAAATACGGATATATGGTACTATTGTTTTACGAATACAGTCGAACCTTTCCTAACGGCTCCCCATCCACGACGGTCACTTTTATGCCCTGGACATTTATTTACTTTTGCGTGAGTCTCTCTATAATGGCCGCCTGTCCACAACGGCAACAATCCTCAAAAGTGCGTTCCAGGTACTAAAATGAACTTCCCACAACGACCGTTTAAAATCAAACAACAGGCAACATGATACACTCACCGCACCCTACTCGCTTGGCGCTGTGTTTGCCGTGATTGCTGTGTTTGCCACAGGGCGCAGAGGAGTTACTTGTACTGGCCTTGATTCTACGGTTAAATTTTACAGTTGATAGCGCGATTCGCCTTTGTTTACTGTAGAATCGAATATGAATTTTACCTTTCAAACCGTCATGCGATAGTAAGTGCAAATTGTAAATATCTTATTATCCACTCCCCTCAGGGCTTTTCAGGGATAATTTACAACACTGGTTGGGGGACTTTGCAAGACTGCTTAAGGTGCAGTTTACAAGTAATGAAGAAAAGAGTAATGATGCCCCCATACATGAGTGGGAAAGTGGGATAGATCACTACACCTGGCATTACGTGCCCTACTCTTTACGAAGAGTGTGTGGGTTTTTTAACGTCCTACGGATTTATTACATGTGCTGGGCTTGTGAGTCGGGGCCTTATAATAATAATATAATAACAATGGAATTTATATATACATCGCTGTTCTAAGCGCTTTACAATGTAAAAAGGACATAAGAATCACAAGCTTACATATAACACTACTGTACATATTGGGAAATTTATAGCATACACATCTTAAAAAGGAAAGAAAACAAAAACAAATATGATGAAAGTAAATGTCATATTTACCATTAAATGTCATCTCGGTTTATCGTCCTTATCCGAGAAGACTAGAAAGTCTAACCGTTTGATGATGTTATTACAAATGCAGCACCTTCTCCTCAGTTATTTAAGGTGGCTCCGTAATTTATACTAGAGCATTTTGCTGTGACAAATTTTCCGTCATAACTTTTTGGTTTTTAACGGGATGGCTGCGATACTTTGCAAACAGAAACAGATATCATTCGGCAATAATACGAAATATTCCGATTTCATTGATGGTAAATATTTCTTGAGAAATTAGCGCTTAAAAGGACCCTACTGTTCAAAGAAAATCGCGTCTAGTAAAAAATTTTGCTGATATTTTTTACTGAAATTTCTGGTATCGGCTTTCTTTGATATAATAAATATGCCAGAGGATTTTCAGAAAAATCGTTGGAGCAGAAGTCCGTAACTAAAAGTCGCTCACAATTCAGCTGTGAAATTGTTTTGGAATTTCAAAAATAAATTACTATCAGGGAGAAGGAGCCACCAGTTTGAATTTTCGGGACAAGTAAATTCAACGTTTGCTAATTCTTAAAACAAAAGCCGATTGCCTATCGCGCTATTCTTTAAAAGGTACTTTTTAGTTTTAGAAGCACTATAAATTGCTCCAAACCTTGCTCTGAAGTAGAATGACTTGTTCTTCGACAGTTTTAAAATATCCCTTGACAGTTTTGGCTCAAACTCCTGCTGCATACATTTTGATGTATTGCAATGCATTTTCAACGACTTTTACTGCTGTTCGTTGCTTCCAGCTCAGGAAAAAAGTATTGAGATTGGACGCTACCTTGTATCAGAGCTCAGATAGAACTCTCCAGCACCTTTGTTTATGACTAAAAAATGAGCACGAGCGGCAGTTCTGCGAGGAATTCGCACCTCACCCAGGGGGGACGAACGACAATGATGACCATGCCTGTGAACCGAATAACATCACAGTGCAAAATAAAATTATCGCAAAAATACTGCCCGTGAATAAATTTACAACTCTGAAATTTTTGTCACTCCTTCCTTCAATGAATGGGTATTTTTTTCTTGATTATTATGTTTTGCTCTGCAATACATGTTTATACAGATCGGTTCACAGACATGGGCATCATTGTCATTCGTCCCCCCTGGCTGAGGTGCGAATTCCTCGCAGGGCTGCCGCTCGTGCTCATTTTCTGGTCATAAACAAAGGTGCTGGACAGTTCTATCTGGGCTTCGATACAAGGTAGCTTACAATCCCAATACCTTTTTCCTGAATTGGAAACAACGTACAGCAGGAAAAACCGTTGAGGATGCATTGCAATACATCAAAATGTATGTAGCAGGAGTTTGAACCAAGACTGCCAAGGGATATTTTAAAAATGTCGAAGAACAAGTCATTCTACTTCAGAGCAAGGTTTGGAGCAATTTATAGTGCTTCTAAAACTGAAAAGTACCTTTTAAAGAATAGCACGATAGGCAATCGGCTTCTGTTTTCAGAATTAGCAATCACTGAATTTACTTGTCCCGAAAATTCAAACTGGTGTCTCCTTCTTCCTGATAGTAATTTATTTTTGAAATTCCAAAACAATTTCACAGCTGAATTGTGAGCGACTTTTAGTTACGGACTTCTGTTCCAACGATTTTTCTGAAATTCCTCTGGCATATTTATTATATCAATTAAAGTCGATGCCAGAAATTTCAGTAAAAAATATCAGCAAAATTTTTTACTAGACGCGATTTTCTTTGAACAGTAGGGTCCTTTTAAGCACTAATTTCTCAAGAAATATTTACCATCAATGAAATCGGAATATTTCGTTTTATTGCGGAATGATATCTGTTGTTTTTTGTAAAGTTTCGCAGCCATCGCGTTAAAATCGAAAAAGTTATGACGGAAAATTTGTCACAGCTAAATGCTCTTGTATCAATTACGGAGCCACCTTAAAGACCCTGAGTGTTGGTCTGGCCGGGGTTTGAACCTATGGCCGGCCGCTCAGCAGACCGGGGCTAATCCCATTGAGCTAACCGGGCGGCGGTATAGTGTTAGTAACCTGGTAAAACATTATCCAATTCTTAGCCTGTTCCAATTTTTTTTTTCTTCGTGAATTTTTCTCCCACGCTCTACTATTTGAGCGCCTAGAACAGGCTATCCAGTGCTCGGTTAGCCTACCACGAAAACGTTCTTAGGGGTTCGTCACTCGTTCCCAAGCAGGAACGCGTGACGTACCTCTAAGAATGTCTGTGTGGGAGGCTAATGCTCGGTGGGAACGAACGTCGCCCGAAGAGAGACGTATTTGGAAAACGAAGCGTTTCGAGCGAGGCACGAAGTGCCGAGAAGAAATATTTTATATCTTAGCTGCTGTTGTTCGTCCACAGTCATTACCTTCATCGGTTTTCTGGAGCATAAAATAATATTTTACCAGGTTTCTAACACGATCGCATGATGGTTTGCTCGATTCTATGGTATAAAAACAAAGGCGATGCGCGGTATCAAATGTAAATTTAACTACAATCAACAATCAAGGTCAGAAATAACTCCGCGTAGAATTTTCATCGGAGTGTTAAAATATACATCCTATACCAACGTCTTTTACAATATGTGCACTCAGTTGCACTGTCTGGAATTTTTTCCGAAGTGTTCCTCTAACAAAGTGGCGTTTCATTTTTTTGTACAATTCTTATTTTGCTTTTAGGAGTGTTGGTTGCACAGTCATAGAGATGCTAACAACCAAACCGCCTTTATTTTTTGAAAACTTGACATTGGATCAAAAGAGGTTCCGGATAGTACATTGCCAAGTTGATCCACCTGAGAACTGTAGCCCAGGGGCTAGTGAATTTCTACAGCGGTGCCTTCGGTAAGATTGATTCTCTATAATAAAAAAGTTAACAATTGAGTTATATCTGATAGGTTAAACGACTTATTGACGGACTTAAGCAAAACTAACTACGAGAGAATGACTGGACAACCAACAATTTGACTAACGTTCAAAACCTTATTAAAATTTTAATGTTTAATGAAGGTCTTTATATCTGATAAAGACACGGCTAAACTTTACGTCCAATTTTTAGACCAAAATAACCCCAAATCTAAATATTAGTGCAAGAATGAGTTGATCTATATCAGAGATTTTAAAGCCGTTCGAAAAAAACTCTGAGTCGTGTATTATCAGGTTTAAAAACTCGAGGCGAATCCTCGAGTTTTTAAACCTGATAATACACTCCTGTTCGTTTTTTAAACAGTACATAAACGACTGTTTAACTGTGACAGTAGACGGATCGAAACGTACCAATGACATTACGAGTCTTCATAGCCAATGAACATCTCGGATTAACTGACAGGCGACCAATAACATTGCAACTTAATTGACCAATCAGGTCAATAACCAGAATTTAGTACCATCACTTTGAATCTGAAGATGATTGCTTCACAGGTAAAAATACCATAATACTCTTTGTTGTCCCTCCAAAATTTTGCATAAGTATTGTTTTCAATTTCTCTTGGGACTTACAATCGCCCCAAGAAAAATTGAAAACAAAGGTTATGCAAAATTTGGGAGGGACAACAAAGAGTATTATGGTATTTTTACCTGTGAAGTAATCATCTTCAGATTCAAAGTGATGGCACTAAATTCTGGTTATTGACCTGATAGGTCAATTAAGTTGCGATGTTGTTGGTCGCCTGTCAGTTAATCCGAGATGTTTATTGGCTATGAAGACTCGTAATGTCATTGGTACGTTTCGATCCGTCTACTGTCACAGTTAAACAGTCGTCGGCTTGATGTGTTGTCTCTTGTTTTTAAGACCCAGATCAGAGCGACCATCTGCTGCTGAACTCTTGACAGATCCTTTTGTGGTCGATCAACAACAGTAATGCCAGTGTGATCGAGATGCCTGTTGCTTAGTGCTGTGCACGAGGGAGACAGGGGTCACTCTTACGCCCCGTTTACAGGGGACTTGCTTTTTATTAAAGATTTGTATATGGTTATGGTGGAGAGATTTAGAATCACGCTTACGGCAAACGTAAATTTGTACCACCTCACTATGGCTGGTTACCAAGGTTCCCTTTGTTGTACTTGTCTTTTACCGTTCTCTACTTTTACAAAAAAAAATTATTACTTTCACATTATCTTCATCCATAAGAATTGTTTTGGACTGTTGTTTTGTTTTGTTTTGTGTTTTTTTTTTCTTTTCACTTTAATTTCTGTTTGAAGAAATTCTCAACTCGAATCTGCCGTTTGACGTTTACCATAACCGTGACTCTAAATCTCTCTAATGGTCCTTACTCTTTCGGAGTATTTTATTATTATTAATAATAATAATATTATTATTATTATTATTGTTACTATTATTATTGTTATTTTATCATTTTTATTATTATTATTATTATTGTTATTTTTGTCTGAAGTGAATGTAAATTCTATAAAGCAAAGACTATAGCTATTTTTGCAGAATCGTGTATCTAAAGACAATAATTTGTGCAGTGTGCCAAGCACACATTTTTCAAGAAAACTATTGCATTCTGGTCAGCTAGAGCCCTGCTACGCAGCAGGGTGAGTTACTTCGATTCTCTTCTCACAATTTCTCAGTCCGGACCACAAAAATGGTGGTAAGTCTAAATTTGTAAACCGGCGAGTATTGTTTGATCACGTTCTTCATTGCACAGTTTTTGAAACCAACAAACTTGTTTTTCTTGCGACTTGTCATTATTAATTGCTTTAGACAGAAAGCGAAGAATAGGTATATCTAACGTCATCAGACATAAAATTGCGTCGAATGTGAAATATTGTGAATAGAAAAGTATTTGCCCGCATGATATTTGTTTTTTAATAAAACCCGACTTCGACTTGGAAATCATTGATGCTTAGTCCCTGTCTTTTAATTTAGGAGGGAGAGCCCTCCTAAAGGAGCAGAGCAGTTCCCAGAGAGGCTCTGGGAACTGGAAAGTTGCTCCTTTCACCACGGCCGACTAACGAGAGAAATTTTCAAAAGCTATGGTATGTCCCGCCCCTTCAAGCAAAACGCGCAAAGTTGTAAAGAAAACTGCACTAGAAACACATTATCTCCTACCCTCATATTGTCATCCAAAATGTCCAGTCCAGGATTATTTATGACGCTTAAACTCCTTAAAAATGTAATTTAAGTGACACGTAATTTGCCATTTTTAAACATAGAATGTGGAAATCCTTCGGTACTGTTAGATCGAGTAAAAGACGGGCTCCAGATGTTCAAAAGGTGGTAAACGTGATCCACTAGATAAACCTCTATCTAGTGGATAAACCAGTTTGTTTCCTAAAACGTATCCACTGGATAATGATTTCTCCTGGTCTTTATCCTGTGGATCCCGCTATATAACTTTTAAACAACTGGGGCCAGATGTCTAAAAATAGCCTGTTCCAGGCGTTCAGATAGTGGGGAGCGGTGCGAAGTAAAAGGAGCGCGAAAAAATAAAAGCGAGGGAGGGGGAGAGGTGAGAGAGGGAGCCCGCACCTCTCTCCCCAGTCCCCCTCTACTTTTCATAGCTTTCTTTACTTCGCATCGCTCTCCACTATCTGAACGCTTGGAACAGGCTAGTCTAAAAATATTTGTGAAATTTTAAAAAATTGCTTTGTTTCTTTAACTGCGCAGAAAGATCAAAACATATTTGTGTTACTGATTTTGAAAAATAACGAGACTATCTTCTCGATATTTCTAAACCTGAAAACGATGATTTGACAGTATGTACTTCATGTAAGACTTCATTTAACGTCCTTGGTCATTCCCATTGGGGGCTGGGTTAATTTGTCGGGGTGGGGGGAGGGGGCGTTGAAATTTCGGGTGGGTAGTGAAGAAAAGAAAGTCTCCAGATTTTAGATCTCCATAGGTTGGCATCTCTGTGATTATGTCAAAGTCCCGGGAGGATACTCCCCTATAAAAGTGACGGGGGTGCTCGTCGTACCCTTTAGGGGTTTAAATTTGTGGATTGGTACCGCTTAGGGTGCTAAAACCGAAAATGACTGCTGCCAGAGTTGTCTCGGTAACATTTACGACAATACTTTCAAAACGTTCGTGGGAAGAAAGTGTTCAAAAGGTGTGTTTTCTACTATTAAAATTCACAGTGCCAGTTATAAAATTTGTTGTTGTTGAATTGGTACCTTTTAGGGGTGGAAATGAATTTGAGACACGCCCATAAAACAAGATTCTGGTACCTTTTAGGGGTGTTGTCGAAATTTTCCAACGAGCACCCCCGTCCCTTTTATAGGAGAGTACCTCCCCCACCCCCCGGGGTCGAAGTCTACTGTCTTATTAAGTTATTAGGGAGCTTAAACAGCAGCGTTTTTGAGCGACGAACGTCAACAGGTAGTGGACTTTTTGCATCATTGGGGAGTGATTTGGTTGAAACTCTCGGGTAAATCCTCTTCATAAGAGAAAAACTCAGCAATACAATTATCAGTTATCTTCCAATTATAACAAACTCTGACTTGAACTTCAGAAATCTTACGGCCTCCGCCAACTTGTAGACACAGAACTTGAAAATCGACCTTCTTCACACTTGACTAAACACAGCACTCCAGCTCTTGGGAAAAAAACTTAGTTCGTCAAAACACTGTACATTTGAAAGGTTCTGCACAACTTACACAATTTTCCCTTGCTGAACATAAACTGTACCGAGCCGTACCTTGGTCCGCTATATTGAAACTATATCATCGTTCAAATTTTAAAGTTCAAGATCCCTGAAATGGAGCAATATGTAAAAGGTTTTCAAAGGTTTCACGCCGGTAAAGATGTGCGGCCTGTCACCTCTTGCAAGTTTTTACTTTGGCTCTCAAGATAACCGCCCTCGCTGTCGATTGTCACCTTACCCGGTCCAGTACTATAGCTGTGTCATAGTTGGGGCCACATAGCGCGAGGACCGGCACGTGGATCAGCTTTTCACCGCTCCACTTCGGATGACTCGGGGTCAATCTTTCCAGCGGGCCCGGGCAGCAGCTTATATCACGCTTTATTTGCTCATTGGGGGCTTTTTATTTTATTAGTCTTGACAAGTCGCAGTCCACTCCTTCGACTTGGGTGTGTTTTCTTGGTTTTGTGTGTGACTCGGTGCGTCAAGCTTTTCTCATCCCCCAAGAAAGAAGAATCAAGTTTGCGACGTTAAGGGAAGACATTATCTCGTCCCCTTTCGTTAGCCTGAAGACACTTCAGCGTTTTTCGGGGGAAGTGATCTCTTTTAGTCTTGCTATTCCGGGTTGCAAACTGTATGTATGCGAAGTTTTTAACGCTATTTCCCGCCACTCGGGCTCCTCTCGGCCAACCGTCAAACTAGAGGCTAACCTTCGAGCTGACATCGAGTTCTGGCGGTTTCTTGACGACTGGAAGGATTGCTTCCAATGGAGAACGGAGCGTCAAGCGTCCGTTACGGTATATTTCGATGCCTCAAAGATGGCTTGGGGCGGAACTTTGCGCTTGGGCGGTCACAGTTTGGAGTCCAGGGATACTGGCTGGACAATTCGCAGGATATCAACATCCTCAATCGAAGCCCAAGCTTTGCTGTATTCGCTGCTTTCATTTAAGAAACACCTTACCTCTTCAAGAGTGGACGTCTACACAGACAACCGCGTCTTGACGTCTGCGCTGGAGAATGGATGCTGCAGGAGCTCCGAAGTTAACGGTATTCTCAAAGACATTTTTCGTTTCTGCAGGGAATACAATTTCAGCCTTGATGTTTACTACGTTCCGTCAGGTGAAAATCCAGCTGACACCCCCTTCCCGTAGCCGATTGGATACGGATTGTATGTTGTCAAATAGCGCTTGGGAGCAAGTCGATCGGCTTTTCGGGCCCCACACGTTCGATCTCATGTCATTGGATAGTAGCTGCCAATGCAACAGGGTAGGTCTGCAGTTGCCTCATTTTACGCCTTGTGCAGCTCCAGAATCTAGCGGTATCAACGTCTTCGCCCACTGGCTCTTCCTTTGGATCACAATATCTACGTGTTCCGGCCATTTGTCCTTATAGCTCCCCTGCTAAAGTACGTCTTGGAGCAGGATTTTCATGGCGCTTTTACTATTGTCGTCCCTGACTTGAAGCCTCCTGATCGGCGTTTCCGGTGGGCGTTGTTGCAGTCACTCGCTGTCGACCATGCTCTATTGGGAAGGAACAACGAGGGTTCCATTTTGTGGCACCCATCTCAGGGCGGTCAAGGATGGTCTCTAAGGAACTTACGGTGGGACTTATGGGCTTTCCGCTGTGTTTGCTAAATTTACCAGTTCGCATCTTTTTAGGTGGCGCGTCCATGGAAGCCCGCCTGTCACTGTTCTGCCTGCCTTTAGCCCAATGATTCGGGTGTAAATTATTGCCAAGCCTGTATGGAGACGTGTCTATTACAATATACAATATCATTCTAAGCCTGTATGGAGACGTGTCTATTACAATATACAATATTATTCTAATGACATAAAGATATACAATAATTACGAAATTACTGAGTCGGGCATTAGAATTTGAAAAGAAATTAACAGTAACTGGGAGCGTAAAAAGACACGTCCTGTCAGTACACGCACATGCGCCGATCAAACGCTTAGCAGCGGGATCGGTTGACCCACTCTCGCTCGTATGAGAGCTATTTTCAATAACCTGGGGCGCGTTAACGACTCCAACCCTGTTACCCATCCCCTAGTTAAGGATTACTTAAAGTTTATTAGGGAAGAGCAGGCGGGTTTAGCTATTACGCCTTCTCAAGCGGTCACATTATTTTCGGGAAACTTCAGCATTTAATTGCTCATCTTCGGGATTTGTGTTCCAGCAGTGTATCCCTTTCTTGCGCGGGTAAATACATCCTTGTAAGGGATGCTACCTTTGTCATTGTGGATTTTTTCACCGGCAATAAGGCTTTGGACCTCAGCCGCCTTCAATCTTGTAACGTTTTTAGATTAAAGGACCGGGAGAGTTTTTGCTTAGATTTACCCTCACTAAGAATTTGCGTAAGGGACCCCCCCGCTCTCTCGCTTTGATTAAATTCGCTCACTCTGATGTTTGTTCAGTCGCATGGATTCAGTATTAAATCACAGTTTGTCAATGCCTTAAGGTGCCTTCAGATCAGGGGTACTTCTTTCGGACCGCAGAGCGTAGCGGATCAATAGGGGACAAGCCTTTTACAGGTTCTGCCATAAACATCAGGCTTAG